TCGATTTCGAATTCCAAATACAATACACCCGTTTGTGCTTGTCTTACTTTTTAATTCAATTGCGTTATTTCTGGGACTCTTAGTTCATACTACAATTCAAATAATTCAAAACATTATATTGGCGTCGCGATGGAGCCTGCGATGGAAAAGTTAGATATTCATTCAACTTCGGACGCTTTTGAAGATTACTTTGAAAGGTTCGAAATCTGGGCTATGACCAAGGAAGATGATGAGGATGTTAATATTGTGGCACATTTCCCCACATTCATTGGAAAAGAAACATACAGCTTATTAAGAACTCTGGCTATGCCGGAAAAGCCCATTTCGCTTTCTTATACAGATCTCAAGGATCTACTGCTAGACTATGCTCAGTATACAAATTTCGAATGTCGTAAAGGAGGAAGATTTCGTAAAATGATTGACGAGGATATAAAAAATTCCACTACATTACGTCATCCCAACCCAGTTCATACTCAAGGTTATGCAGACAATTCATTGCGTTTGGATGCAGTTCACGAGGATGGGGACAAGTTTGGTCAGTGTTTGTCCTGTGGCAAGTTCCACTCTTTTAATTCATGTAAATTTCGTAATTCCAAGTGCTTTAAATGTGGTCATATTGGACATATTCAGTCAGTTTGTAATACTAATGTTCATCTTATTGCGACTAATATTAAGTCTTGTAATTCTGATTCTACTAAGTCGGGTATTTATAATGATGATTTATCTTTATCAACGATTTCAAAAGACAGTGTAGATATGGCAGTTCAGAGTTAAATGAAATCCAGAATTCTTGTGAGACAACAGTTCCTAATCAACCGATTTATCAGAATTCTCATGCTATTGTACCAGGTATGACTTTTCCTAATGATTCACATATTTCTAATGAAATTACTTGCAGTTCTGAGCAAAATATGTTAAATGTACCTAATCATAATCGAAAACCTGATGTGGTTTGGATAGATGCTGATTTTTCTAAAGACCCTACGCTCTGCAATGACAGTCCTCATGAATTTCATAAGAATATTTCAGAAGAATCAAATCCTGATGTCATATCATAGATTACCTATCCTCATTATACATTTGATCCTTGTGAAACACCTGCTCAATGCGAAGCACGAGTACTAAGTGACCTCGAGTTTGATTACATTTCGGATGATTTTATATCAACTGCTGTTTACCCTTATCACAAAAGCAGTTCTAATGTTTACTCTAAACAATGTGAGAAATACGTTTTAAATGAAGCCACATTATTCATAACTTGGGGATATAAAGATCCAACATTATTTCGTGGGGGAGGATAGTGTTGAAAAATCTATGGTTCAAATTCTAGATATTAATGATTTCAGTACAAAACCGATATGCTGATTGTATACAATTTCAGGTGAGTCTGTTCCGATTTCGTTTGTTAATTCCAATACTAATGAGCACTTTCTAGATACTACTAAGTTTTTGTCTTATACAATGTCGGACAGACTCAGGATGAACTTAACAAGAAGACGTACAACCGATTACAAACACTTATACTTATATTTAAGCTGTGGCGGATGTGGTGTTTGAATGAACTAATGATACCTTTGTACTTGTTGAATATTCGATTTCGAATTCTAAATACAGTACATTCGTTTGTGCCTGTCTTCTTAATTGAATTGCGTTAATCCTGAAATTCCTAGTTCATACGACAATTAGCACACCATAGATATTATTACTGATTCTCAGATATTTAACTCTTTTGTTGTTTAGCACGCTATTTTTTGTGTTGGAGAAACCCTTGACTACATAACAGAGGCTGTACCGTTTAAAGTATCTTTGAAACAATTTCTCTTTTTAAAATTAGAACAGTTTAAATTGGGCAGAGTTTATGTTTTGATATAATTTAATAAGAATATTTAAAAAACGTTTCGTACGCTGTACAGAAGAACGTAATCTGGTCTACTGGAATAAATTTTGTTTCGTTAGTTCTGCAGGTTATGGAGGTGAGTGCAAGTTTGGTAAATGTTTGTTCTGTGGCGAATTTCACTCATGCAATTCATGTGTATTTCGTAATGCTAAATGTGAACACATTCAATAAGTTTGTAATACTACTATTGATTTCGATGCAAGCACAGCTAAACTTTGTTATTCCAATTCTATAAAGTTGAGTGCTTCAAATGAATCATATTATTTTACCATATATGCGTTGTTCTCATTGTTGATGTATTCTTAATGAAATTATATGACGAACATAAACAGAGTGCACCAAATCAGAACTCTGACGTTATTTTATCAGATGCCGTTTGTCCTAATGATCCATTTATTTCTAGTGAAATCTCAATTAAATGTGAGGAATAAGTTCTAAATGAGTTGAGATCTGATTACAGACCTTATGGTGTCGCAACAGATGTTATTCGCCTTCACAATGGACTTATCCCTAGTGATGTTCCTTATGAATGTGACAAATGTGTTCTGAATGAGTCTAATTCTAGTCAAATTTCTGATGTTATTGTACCAGATGTCGGATATTATCACAACCAATTTATGTCGAGTAGGATTCTAAGTCAGCAGTATGATGAATCAGAGGGGATAGCAAGCTCTCCCGAAGCTGTCAGAGAACCAGTTTTCCCAGATATGAAGTTTGAACAGGGAGAAAATCCAAATCGAGATTATATTAATAGGCATGAGACAGATGCATTGTTGTGGATGCGGAGGAATAGACCAACAATTATCATGTTAAGTCCAGTGGTGTCCTTGGACTTTAAATGGACATTTCCTATTGGTTGATATCTGTTCACTTGTTGAATATTGTACAAAATGTTGTTTTTTATTTTATGGTACGATGTGGTATGCGTGATTGGTATATAAACAAAGTATGTTTGAAATATAATGATTCATATCTCAGAGGTTGTGACTTGTGATCTGGACTCAACTAACTGGGCTAGACAGGGAGGTGGGACCAATCGAGACTCTAGGCCATCCGTACGTGTTTGCGTGTCACTGTAATCGATCGATAAATACGCTGTTCTCTAATCTCTTCAGTCAAGGACACAACAATTAGCACGGGGTAAAAAAACGACCCAACTTAAAGTCATAACATGCATATTTTCCATTTGAGTGTTGTAGGTGGATTAAGCCTATATGAATCACCTATGTTAATTGCACATATCAATACAAACTTATCCAATAACTGGAACAGTGTAACCTATCGTGAAAAGCAAAAGAAATATGTATCATACTTGCTGTGCAGGTCAAAGTCACATGATGGAATGCTCCACAGTATATGTTGATGTGTATCTCCAAATACCCACATACAATTATCAAAGTGTATGATATGAGAAGATAATGCAAATTGCGACATAAGGGCCCTACCTTATTTTGTAGAGGAGGATAATGCTGGAAAATCTACGGTTCAAATTCTAGATATCAGTGATTACAGTACAAAAACCACATGCGTTCATAGAGAGTTCCAGGAGCCAGGTGAGTATGTCCCAATCTTACTTGTGAATTCTAATGCGTAAACCCTAGATCATACAGAGTCCTCATTCAATACACGGTCTGACAGACATGCATAGAACCTACTGAGAAAACATTCAGTCGATTACAGAAACTTGCATTCTAATTTAAGTTTTGGTGTTTGTATAAACTGATGATTCTTTTATACCTGATTTCGAATTCCAAATACATGCTCATCTAGTTCTATTTGCTATAAATTGCGGTATTTCAGGAATTCTCAGTTCGTACAATAATTCAAATACTTCTAATTGTCATACCTTCGTAGTTGCATATTTTTTTACAAAGGAATATGATAGTTTGATCGATCTTGTTTATTTCTTATTGTCAATGGTAGATTTCTTCAAATTATTCTTCCCTTTTGTGCTTTCAGTAAGCCACCATCAGTCCCATTTTATACTTGGAAAAAACTTAACACAATAAATAAAAACAAAGAAACCTGGTTCACAGTCTTCACATAAAGTCGGAAGTGTTTGAAGATAGGTAAGCCTTCAGTAAATCTCTTTATTCAGACATGTATCTAAAGTCACATAAACAACATAATGAAACATTCTAAGGATAACGCCTAAAAAATCTATTCAGTTTCGCGAATTCCAAATCGAGCATTTTGGAACTGAGGCAGTGGACAATAAATCCCTGGAAACTATGTTTGAAATGTTTGTGATATGATCACATAGGTGTTCTAATTTAGTTACCTGATTGCAGAACACTAGCAAAACTCATCGGACCGCAAGTAAACCTTTTCATAAAATGTTTAGAACCACTCAGACTGAGAATTCAGGATAACATTAAGACTCGTTTCATCCCAAAGGCTCCAGTGGTAGGTCGCAAGGAACACTAAGGCTCAAGGATGGCCATACACCCCACCTTGAAAAAGCTCGAAAATATGCTGATGGGACCACAGAGGCTCACAAAGTAAACAACTTTTAACTTTCTTCCGAGGCTATGGTCTACACAACTTATTGAAGATAATCGACTGGAATTTCGTACTTGACGGTATCTTTAACAAGGCATAGCATAAAATCGGGTCCTAATCGTATTTCAGCTACCACAAATTAAGGATGCGGATTGGAACTCTGACACTTTAACAATGTATTACTAATATATGACTAATATATCCAGGATCTCTATAACACACCTGATACCTTTCAAATTAATCACACTAAATTGTTCAATATTTCTATTCAAAAATGCTGCCCTACAGAAGTAGAAAGTAAAATAACCGTAACTAATAGCCGGTTGGTAGCGATTGGTTACTTTAGGACCCTGGAGCCCATGTGCACCATTCGTCTGGAATCAGGGTTTTCCAACTCCTCTAGGTGGATTCTCCGTATCCACCGATCCGGTTAAAGCACCTGAGATTGGCTTTTCAACCTCTAAATTTCTTAAACACCACCCCCATCACGAGAAGGCAGTGGACTGTATACGCGTAGCTATGTAAGAACATTTCGAGAGGGAAAGCGGATTCTCCCCACCATCTAATTAAATAACACTGATCCCATAGACAAAAGCTTACACCAGTGAAAAAACATTTAATTTATCTCAGCTACTGATCGTAGAATCCTTTCAAAAAAATAAAGTATAACAGTAAAAGCAAATACATAACTGTTATACAATCATAAACATACCCGGATAAACAGTAAATTTGTCATTTTCATAAAAGAATCAAATGAGAATATAAATAAACTGAGAAGAAATTAAAGATGCACAAAATTAAAAGACAAAACATCACACTAGATATACATTTCATTAACAGGATTGAATATTAGGCAAAATTAATAAATGAATCAAAGTTTTAAAAAAAAGCCGTTTAGAAAATAGATATCTTCACAATACTACTACGACTACTATTACTACTACTACTGCCACCAATAATAATAATAATAATGTTAAACATTGAAAGATAATTGTTTGCTTATAGTTACCCATCTTTATGTGCATGATTTACATACATTAAAAGAAAAGAAAAGAGAAAGTGTAAGCTAACTTACAAGAATCAATGTGTACAATGAAGATTGGAAAGTAAGAAATAATAAACAAGTTAGTTATCATAATTATTGTATTTCAAATATATATAATTTATACATACATATATACTCTGGTATTACCTTTTCATTGAGATAAATTACATTTGACTATGTTTTTCATTCCAATCAATAAGACGTTCTTCTAGACGATTAAGTTCCGTTTTCAAGATGGGTAAAGAATCCTTTGTATGAATAAAAAGATAATAATAATAATAATCGTTAAATATTGCACATTAAGCGCTATATAGTTATATTAAATAAAATAACTGTTTATTATTACTGAACGAGTTATGATATTGTAGTGAACGAGAACATAAATGACGACAATTGAATGTATTTGAACACAGAATTATAGAATATCTTAGTAAAATCTAAGAATCATACAGTAGATAATTCATTTGCAACATGTCAATCAATCGTCTCGAATTTCACTGTTCCATCATTTCCATACAAATTGCTTACTATTCTCGTTCTTTCCTTCTTGATCTTCTGCTGCTAGACATTCTATTCCTGACTAGCGTTATATACTACTTATGTCAATATAAAAAGCGCACACCACAGTATCAGCAGTGAGGGGAACACTCTGCTTAGTTTTTTGAAACAATTGCAAAATATTTCTGATAAATCACATATCTAGTCATCTGGTCTCTTTTTTTCTCTTCCCAAATTTATTTCACTGTATTATACTCTTTAAATAAAATCTCCAAACACTAATCTTCCCGATTACTGCTTATACTCTTACTACCTCTACCACTACGGGATTTGAATCGACCACTGCATCTTTGTGCTAATGTAGTATGGCAACGTGAACTGATGTACGTACGTACGAAGTTCTACATTGTTACTGACTGACATATCTAGTCATGATAATTTACCAACATCAATAAATTATTACTTATGCCTGTTTCCCCCTTGTGGAAGCATAGGACCGGTAGTAAGACATGGAAAACCAATAAATTACTTGAAACCACCAAAACTTAACAGGTTTCTTTACTTCTGTTGCGGAATACTTTTATTTATACAGATTTTGCGTTCATTCATTTTTAAGGGTTCGAATTTTACAGTCTTTGATGTTAAGGACTGAATTATCACCAATATCTTTTGGCGAATTCGCATCCTCAGCGGATTGTTTCAATATAACTATTAAGGCATAGGTATTTTTAAGCTAAGTTTTGACAGTGGCTAGCAATGGAATTCAAGACGGGCGCTTTGTCCTATTTGAGGCTCATCAGATGGATGTACCTGAATACTAGTGCTGGCCTTCGAGCCAGGAATCGAACTTAGTGCATTTTACTTCAAACCTCTAACACATTATTCATTTAGCTACTGAGTCCAGAGACCAGGTCCATCCAGTTGACGAGTTCCAAATAGGAATAAACGTGTGTCCTGAATCTAGTAGTTAGCCAGAAAAGTAACCTAAAATAACTGTTCGAAAAAGGTTCACTAAAATTTGACGAAAGAACAGTTATCTAAGTTCCATATTCCTTTTACTAATAGTGATGGACTAATGCAACACCGAAATAACTTCCTATAGATCAAATTTATTGACCATATATAATGAATTTCACATTTTTTTTTCAAGAAAAGAAAACACACCAAAACAATAAAAGATGTAAGTGATGAAGTATTCATTTTAATTTAAGATAAATAATGATCAAGTTATTAACTCACTTCAAGCTCTTTGACATAGATTTCTACGCTCTTAAATTGTGCATGATTACGCATTTCAAATATCCATTGTTCAACTTGAGTAATAATAAATGAACGTCGATTTAGAAAATGTTTTAAAACTACCTACAGGATGGAAAAAGACGTACATTCAATAAAAATCAATGTTATATTACAATGAGTGTACAGAAATTAAACTATGTAGGTGATTTCCCTGACGATGGCTAAAGCAATTGATCATTACTAGTAGAAAACAGTTGATGGAGAAGCTCTGGACGAGGTTCAAACCTTCAGGTACCTGGGAAGCATTATCGATTAACAAAGAGGATCTGATTCAGACGTAAATGCAAGGATTGGCAAAGCAAGGAACTCAAAACAACTATCAGTCAACATCAAAGTCGGAATCTTCAATACAAACGTCAAGACAGTTCTACTGTACAGAGCTCAAGCTTCGAGAACTACCACAACCATCATAAAAAATATACAAGTATTTACAAACAATTGTCTACACAAGATACTAAATGTCCGTTGACCGGATACCATCAGTAACTTCCTACTGTGGGAGAGAACAAGCCAGCTTCTATCTGAAAGGGAGGCTAGGAAAAGACGATGGAAGTGCATAGGACATACATTACGGAAATCATCAAACTGAATTACGAATCAAAAATGAACTTGGAATTCTGAAGCGAAGTTTTCAAAACTGAACCATTAAACTATCCATTCATGTCACTACAGAACTGCGTCTACAAATTAGTTTATGTCGATTGTAATGCCTTCTATATTGGAGAGTCATCTCACAAAATCTTGACTCGTGTCAAAGAACATACTAGGTACACAAAGAAACAACCAAATGATCCCGTAGAACTGCATAGACTTCCAATTAAATCGACAATAGCAGTTCATACCATTTTCAACGACCACCAAATGGATTTCAAAAATATCAAAATATTACAAAAGGGTTTTTCCAATTACAAAGAAAGGAGAGTAGCTGAAACGTTCCATATAATGCTTAATCCTACTGCTCTCAATAGAAAAGAAGGCCTTACCATACATCCTACTCGGACTATCTATCCTAGCCATCTAGTCTGATATTATTTACAATTCACACTATTATCTTACAAATCAAACTCTATCATTTCTCACCATAAAGGTCAAACATTTTTCATCCTTAACAGTGCACACATACATACACACAAATTTACATACATGTCGCTTATGAATCACATTCACCGAAATGACATCACATTGATTTGTTCAGACCTGTTTTTTGATTGAGCACATAATATTCTTGTTGTTCCGTTATACTATTTAACCTTGGATTAATTTCAGTTTGGTTATTTATTCTCTGAAGAAGTGGCTTACACTAAGTCACGAAACGTCAAAAAAACCCTCGTTTTTCTACTTACTGGGATATTACAAATATGTTATTTATTTATCCATTTTTAAGAAAAAAACAACCCAAAATATAACATTTATCATCAAGAGACTAACTGATAGTTGTAGGGAACTTCATTGAAAAGAAAGAAGTAAAATGAACATCTGTTTTATTTGAATTGAGAATTCTTTAACAGTAAGTACTTACTATCTTCATATAAAATCGACTATTTTCTGGTTGACTACAGTTCTTAACACAACTAGTTATAAGTAATATAAAACCTAAAACATATATGTTGTTACACCATATTAATATAGAAAGACAGAAATTATCGAAACGAATTACAGAATGGTAGAAGTTTCAGTAACAGAAAGAATACTAAAAAAGCTGATGACATTCGAGACTATTTTATGAAGTAATTCTATAATTATTAAATAACTGGAATATTATATTTCGATATTCAACTTTACTGTGAGTTGTTATTTAATGTGTTAACTATTGTTATACATTTTATTACTCTTAAATTATTGTTAACCGGTTATTTATCATTTATTTATTTCAATACATAGATATTGGTACAAGGAGGCACCAAATACATATGCGCCACACAAATCTCATTTGATATGTGTGAGGGCTGTGATACTGTCCGGGTGCCCGAACTGAACCACGTGGTTTTCTTAGGGGGTAACTCCGGGAGCCTCTAACCTAAACCTGAAGGTCTGATCCACAAGGCAGTGGAGCATCGTAAGGAGATGTAGTCCCATGATAGCCGATCGCTAACGATTGGTTCATACGCCATTTGTTCCTTCAGGATACTGGAGCCCATGTGCACTATTGGTTTGGAATCAGGGTTTTCCAACTCCTCTAGGTGAACTCTCCATGTCCACCAACTCGGTTAAAGCGACGGACATTCGCTTTCCGTCCTCTCAATTTCGTAAACAACACCCTCGCCACGAGAAGGCAATGAATAGGAATTCCCTGGCAGAGGCTATATACGCGTGGTCGTGTGAGAGCATTTGGAGAGGGACAGCGGACTCTCCCCACTCTCGAACGTACCTTTTGTTTTTTTATGTATAAATTATGATTTTTATTTTATGGTATGATGTTCAGTAAACATGTATATGAACACATGTGTGCTTGGATTACAATAATGGAAGCTTCCCAGCTACGTTCTCTTGTTCGAACTCAAGACTGAGGATAGAAGAAGGTATGGAGATCGGCGGACCAACAGGTGTTAAATTATCTTGTCAATCCTCTAGGTTAACCACACTAGCCTAGGCATTTCATTGGCCAAGTAAAGTAGCTTTCTTGTAAGCCGATTGGTATATTAGTGATGAGCAAATCCAGGTTGTGTTTGGTGTATTTTTACGAGCCATCAGACTAAGAAGGTGCCAGATAGGAGGTATTATAACAAATAAATACAGAATTGTTGGTAGCGGAAAAGATTTACGACTATACGATAAGATTCAAGAAAGAATGAATTAATTTGAAAACTCAATATCTTAGAGAAGACAGTAAGTGAATATATCTGCATCATCATATAGATTGTAAGTCACATCGCTGAATATTCTCAATCTATAGTTTTCGACAATCGCATGGATTTCAACCGAGTTTGTGACGAAAAACAACTAATAAAATTTAAGCTTGATCTGTGCATCAACTATTCAACCACATACAACCATCGAATTTTTAATTCTTTTAGAAATCTTAATACATAGGATTAAACAAAAAAATGATAAGATTCTACTCACCTCTTCAAAACCAATTGGTAAATGCTTTAATTGATTAATCATAGCCCAACGAACAGTTGCAACACGAATACGAGCATTATATTTGTAACTGACAATCATGCCTTTAGGCGTTCCCATGGTACACTCGAAACCCGGTTCATTAAAATAAGGTTCACGTACGAAAATTAACGATTGAATTGATACTAATACCTGATAATAGTAATTGTAATAGTCAAATAATGGAATATAATGAGAACGAAATTCACAGTAGTCATACCAAATAAATCTAAATCAATAAGTTTAAAATCAATCAAGGTGAAAGGTTATATCCCAGACCAATCCTCAAGTAGCATTTTACACTTGGAGGAAGAGAACCCCATCACAAACATGCTTCCGTTATTACTTAAAGTGGTCAGGAAACTCGGGATTTTGTCAGCGTCTTCACTAAATAGAGGTATGTCTACTGCTTATTCTAAGTTAACGAGTGAATCTCCTGGTAGAAGATCCATATCTGAAAAGTCAAACGATGATAAAAGTTTTATCTCTACAAGCATCCCTACAAAAAATTTAAATAAAAGTGAGTAAAACGGACAACCCTGACGAACACTAATTGAAGTAACCAGTTCCGATGACAGTTTTCTATAAGCTCTGACTCAACTAATAGTATTTGAGTACAGAACCTGCATAAGGTTAATGTACTTCTTTCGGACGCCTTTCAATGAGAAACTGGCGCAGAAACTCACAACCAACAGAGTCGAATGCTGCCTTAAGGTCAAAGAATACAACTATAGTCGGACGTCGAAAAGTACTTAAACGTTTAAGAGTCCGCCGAAGGGTGGATATTTGATCTATAAATCCATGTTCGTCTGAAACCAGCCTGGTTTTCTCAGGTTTGTTCTTCATGAACTCATTTAAGTATTATTCAGGTTAATATTTTAGACAAAATATTAGTTAAACTGATTCCTCTGTGATTGTCACAAGAGGATTTTTATCCTCTCTTATAAACTGTGATGATCAGAGACTGAGATCAATCAGTTGGGAATATGTCCAGTTCCTAGATATTAACTAAAATTTTGTTAACCTAACTGCTAAAACTGAACCACCATTGTTACAAATTTCAGGGGTTAGTTCATCAGGCCCTGTTGCCCTTCTTCACTTTAGAGTGATTGTAGCCTTTTCAACCCCACTAAGGTTAGGATGACTTACATCAATTTACCACTCATGTTATTTAGATATGGTAGGTAACTGAGATGTGACTGAAGGTCAGTTGAAATGTTGTATAAAACTGGTAAAGATCAGGTTATCATAAATTTTAGTTTGGGAATAATCAAATAATGTGATTGTTTCAGAAGCTTTAAAACGTTATTAGATAAAATCCAGAGTATAACCAAGTGTTGGTCATGTTACAAGCGGTTTCTTTCAATTTTTCCATTTTATATGGTGCATTCTTCTAATACTATAGTGTAATAATGAAATTATGATGGACATATATTTATTAGATTGAGAACTGAAAATAAAAGTATAACGTAGTTCGTCAACAACACTCAACAATAAATATGATATAGAGGTAAACGAATGATCTTTGATAGAAAGATATGTCTCCAAGATTAGAACAATTTTCTAGACAACGATGCTAATTATACATTATTTGTACGATGTTGTATACTATCAGATAATGAAATGAGTTATTAAAAAGAAGTACTCTACATTAAATGAACGAATTTAGTGACAGTTTCAACAGTAATGACAATGATAACAGGAGATGGAGGGTTACATCTAAAAGTCTAAAAAATTGAAAAAACAAATAATAACCAGTGGAATTTAATTCATTTTTATTGATTATTTGAAGCTTTTCATTGATATTCAAGACTGTACTTTATTAGTCTGCTTTGTTAGCATCTATGTATCCTGCGTGGATTCCATTAATATCACTATTATGTCATAAGCATTTATAAGTAGTGACGAATGGTGGATGCCAGCGAATCCAGCTCGCCCGTTTCATCCTACTTAGGACTTGTCAGATAGATGTGACTGAATACCAGGGTCCCGGAGTAAATATCAACTCTGGGATGTAGGTATAAATAAAACGCGCGTCCTGAATTCCATTGTTGACCACATTCCATCTATTTTACATGAGTGTGTTTACGTCATTAATCGGAATATGACTCATATCCAATGCAACTACAAGAAATATTATTTAAAAGAGTAAATACATAAATATACATGTATGGAAAAGATTTAATTACTTGTAATAAGCTTGATGTTTGAGGGTTCCATCGTTCTTCACTTGATCCATGCCATGTATTCAGCACTGACAAGCATACTTTGCCATCTTCATACAGGTTTGGATTAAAACGGAATGTATTTTTCGCTGTTGTACAAAATTCAACTAAAGGCGGCTGATTTGGATAATCTGGCGGTGTGTATATGTCAAATTCAAAACATCCATTTGCATATGGAGTATCAGGAGGTCCAGTAATTAGTGCCTAGTTTTTTGTTGTTAGTTGGTTAAAAACAAAAATAAAACAAAGTGAACATAAGTAATTGTGTTATGGCTTGAGATCGCTGATCGGTATCACAAGTTAGTTATTTCTAGTGCCGTCAGAGGTGTGTGAACGGTTGTCAATTCCCGATTTCTCGTACTGTGAAAAGATATTTCTTCCTGAAGAACCCGAGAAGGATACTGGATTAGTATGGTGTTGGTGACCACATAATTTGAGGGACAACTGCTTGGGATCGTTCATACACGGTCCTATTGCGAGTAGCTCCGTACTGTAAAAATTTTACTGCCGCCGGCGGAAATCCTTGGGGCAAGATAAGGTGTGCTATTGCTACGGTCGACAGTTTCTAAAAACTTTCTTAAGACAGCATCGATAGGAATGTTGATTGCATGAGGAAAATACCTGTCTGACACTGTACCCCTGCACAATCAGCAGCACAACATAGCCCTTCGACCATGAATATGTTGCTTCTAGTTTTGCTATTCTCTAACCAACCTACTTAGCAAGATAGAACTAAATAGGAACATGTTTTCCAGCTAGTATAGCTCAATTGGGTCATCACGAAATGCGGATGCGACCACTAAGTCAAGACAGTAAATTTAGTGATACCATCCAGCTAATAAGATCGAAGTTAGTGGAAAGAGGTTCAAATCTCAGACTTATTAGTTGAAAATCTAGTAAGCTAACCTTCAAGCCACAACATATTTATGCCAGGTCCTATAATGTCTGTGATTGATTAATTGAGAAATAATATCGATGGATGATGTATAAAAAACATATAAATGCATAACCTTCATTGATCAACAATCAGTCACATTTGATATTAATAGTTTAAGAAAAAAAAAAGAAACGCCATTCAGATTCATTGTTAGGAAAAATTTACCTTTAATAAACACAAATGATTTTCTTCACAGCAAATAAACACACTTGCATTTTCAGACAATGGTAAACTAGTATTCAATGTTACAATTTCCTGAGCGAGACGTTGCAACCGATGAAATGATCGATTTTTTGGGGTTATTTTCAATTGAGAACTAGTAGTGGTAGAAGTAACCGTTGACAGTTTATGAGATTGATCAGGATTTAGTCCAGAGGTAGAGGTGGACGCGGAATAAATGAATAATTTTTTTGTATTAAAACTGTTAATTAAGATGAAACCTTCATGTTGGGCACATAAATTCGCATATCCATGTGGGACTATTGAAGAAACAGTATTATTCACGGAAGGTGAAAAAAATTTGATCGTACCTAAACAAACAAAAATGATGTGTAAATTTCCATTAGATTTAGCAAAGAAAATAAAAAATTATACATATATAGTTTGCGTGATTTAGGTATATAGTTATATCACATATATCACTAACTATTGTATACTTCTACCGTGTGGTATACGTTGAAAACAATACTTAACTCTTTTCAAGTCAAACACAAGAACTGGAAGAGAACAGAATACATTCTAACAAACCTGAACAACGAAGATACATGAATAAAAACTCTGGAGGTTGAATTCGATCTACATAAGAATCTTCGGTAAAGGTATGGTATAATACAGGGTTAAGCTTAAAATGACCTCGACAAATTTTCAGCTAATTTCTAGTCAATCGGAAAACTGGTTTAATAAATAGACAGTTTGTAAAAAAGTAAACAATAATATTACAAAGTATAAACAGATTTTATATACTTAATAAGTTTATTCAATGTCTTCTACAGGTTAATTTGCCTGATAATCGAAAAAAGCAACATATAGACTATCCCTCTATTTGAACTCTTAAAATAGCCCAAACACATTTTTTAAGAATTTACATATTGTTCATAGTAAAGGTTAGGTATTTAGGGTTCGGGTTTTTATCACGAACTGGCATCAGCTATAATTTAAAAATATTTGGTAGACATATGGATGTGAATGAATTTCGCTCGAAAATACACGAGCAGTTATATGATTAGTTTTTTTTCGTAAAACGTAGCCTCACCAGGGTAAGGTTTTGTTCTCAATTTTTATCATGAATACTCTATTTTTGACATACAGCATTTTCTTAATGATAGTGGATTGTAGTCTAAATGTTCACACACTTAAGCATATACGTTTTTGAGCTGGAGACACGTTCCGATGCAGATAATTGTACTACTATCATCATATGATCTCTGCTTATTGTTTTTTGGAGAATGGTTATTTCCAGAATGGGTTTTGTGGGGATTTCAGAAATTTCACTGGTTGGAATCAAGATTCAATTGAAGCTGGACCACCATGGAAAACCTGGGAGCACTGGCAAGAGACTGTTAGGTCCTGGGTCGGAATCTCGCGGGGTGCGGGATCGTGGATGCGCGCTGCTGAGGAGTCCCACAATAGGACAAAACCGCCGTCCAGTGTTTCCAGGTTTTTCATGGTGGTCTAGCTTCAATTAACTCATGATTTCAACCAGTGAAATAGTTATTTGTTCAGACAATAACCGTATGGATAATAGATTACTAATCAAGCTATTAGGATAGTTCCTCCCTAAGATCAAAACTAGTATATTGGTAATTTGTTTTTAGTCAACAAAAATAAACGAGCTGAAAGAATAAGCTTACAATTAACAATAGATAAATCATTTCGAAACAATCATACCGATAAAGTCTTGTTGATGATGTTTATCCACATTTCATTCTTTCATCCAGACAATTGTAATGACTAATAAAGCTATGGTAACATCAAAGAGATATGGAAATTATAACCACTATTTTTATATAATCTCTTAAATAGGAGTAGAATTATGTACTTTCCCTTGGAGTAATACTCTTTTATGTGTGAGGGTAAGTGATGCTACTATTAAACAAAAACATGAAAGGAAATAAGTGAAGTAGTGATTTAAACCTTTGAGCCAAACTAAGCCGCCATTCGACTGTGTTGTTTATAACGAAAAATGTGTTCAAAAAGTTACATTACTTGTATTTAATTTATACCAAGCATTTTGTTAAAATATCAAGTAAAATAGTTCAATTAAGCTAACTGTTTGGTTTTATAGGATAGTGAAGCGTTGATTGAGTGGTTAGAATGTTAGACATTCAAGTGCCAGAGTAGAAGCTTGGTAAGTACTCTAGTCAGTCATTCATACGTAACGTAGAGTTTGGTACATGTCTACATTCGTTCAGGTTGTCACATTCCATAAGCATAGCGAGATGAAATTATCAAGGCAAATCCCAGAGTATTAGGCAATAACAGCATTAGCAGTAACAGAAAAGATTGAATTTAGAAGATATGATTTAAGAAGAAAATATGGATCCGTAGAATAAGAAAATTTATAAGGTAATTAGGAAATTCGAAATCTGAAGTAAAACTACGGGTGAATGCCTCTGGATTATTGTAGCCACATCGCCCAAAATGTCTGAAAATTGGTTACAACAATCGCGCGAACCGCTATTCGGTAATCGGCACCTACCTATATGGTTCAGTTCAATAGTCAGTGACTTAAAGAACCAGTGTCATGTCTTGATTCAGCTGCTTCTAGCTTTTTTCTAACCTACTTCTATACCAGACAACATTGCCCATCGACGTCATCAGTGGTTAGTCATACGCAACACACGTCCTGATAATCTTAATCGGCAAAGATTAGCTACCTCATCAACCGACTTTCCATTCTTATTTAGTACCCTACGTCTAACCTCAAAACCGCTAACTTAATAGTTAAAGGATATACGAGCAATGCTTCAAAGACAATACCAGTAACTTGGGAATATTTTCTATTTTTGAAATGTCATGCTTCACACCAATAAAGTAGAACGGAAAGGACTGTAGCGCAGTATACTCCTTATTAAAGGCCAACCCAGCTTTCTGAACTAATACGGATATTTCGTCAGATACCTACTCATCAGGGTAATGGCATTAGACTTCATACAAAAACTATAAAGACATAATCTTGTTTGTAGTCGCCAACTTACAGAGTACTAATAATTAATTCAGTGTTTAAATTACAAAAAAAAACATTTAATAAGCATTGGTTTACTTAATTAAAACAAAGTGTCATTGATTACTGAACTTACGAAAGTGTATAGATTTTAAAGCTGTACAATAAGCATTATTGGTTGAAGGCATTTTTGAATTAATTGATGAAGTTTGAATCTGTAGTGTACCATTCCTATCACTGCCGTTACCATATTCAGTTGATCGTATTTCATGTAAAGTAGTTTTGTAATCATTATTAGTAAATTTATCTTCTTCATTATGATGACATTTATTCATCATTATCAATGATTTATTTCCAGAGCACTGTTGATATTTCAAAATTAATTTAAGCAGTTTATATGTGGTTTCTAGTTCATTAAAAATAATTAAAATCTCTTGATTTACATATGTTGAACTGCTATCACTGTTGAATTGATGGTTAGTACTTTCAGGATTATCATCCAATATATCATTTTGAAAATGACTATGAAATTCACCATTTACAAGATTATTCTCTTTACTAATCGATTGAGAATGATTAGCATTTTCGGTTAAATCTTTAATAATCTCACAATGAACATTTCCGTTTTCGTCCTGTTCTCTTTCTACCTCGGAATGAATATCATGAACATTTTCAGAAGCAGTGTTAAGATTATCATCGTTATCACCACAGTTGATCTCAGCATTACTTTCTATTACCGTATAAAGTTGATCTCTGTCTTCACTACTCATTTGATTAGTATTACTGTCACTAACAACGAACTGATCATAGAAACCAGATTTCAGTTGTAATAAACCATAGGTTTTAGAAGTTGAACAATGAGAATTATTAATATCAGCAGTGTTGAATGTTTGGGATGATTTATAGACGTTTTGACTTTTAAAATGTATATTTTTTAGTAAATTTTCATTAATGTGCTGTTTACGAAAATTACGATATCGTATTGATGAACGGCGAATAAGACCACCACTACTAATATGTGTATTGGTAGGACTAGTTGGGTGTAATTCAATGTTGGACTTAGAGGTAATTTGTTTTGACGGTTGCTTCGATTCAGAAGACTCAATTATCAATCCCAATTTGCTATTTAAATAAGACGGAGGTGGATGGAGAGAAATAAAAACAGCAAGATGATTTAGTCTCACTTCGATTGCAAATTTAGAAAGAAAGGAATACTCAATAATGCATATGATGAAACAGTTATTACAAATAAAGTGTAATTAACGTAAACTTGATATTTGAAGTGGACAGTCATCTTGGAAAGCTGTTAGTTGTTGAAGGCAGTCGACAGGTAACTCTGGAAATAGATCAGACTGTGAAGCGAGTCCGAATTCGCAAAGGTAACATGAATTCCCTTAGGATTCCAGGTACAGATTTCTAGAGTGTCGACCAACACGAAACCTAGGGTGAACAGGGTTTTTTGTCGATCAAGTTCAATCATTCCACATTGTTTAGGAGACGTCTGTTAACTAGTAGCCACGTTACAAGTTGCTTGGCAGAATTCAATTAGAACTAAAAAACTAGAGGAATGTAACATTGATCACCACTCAGTTTTAGTATCTGTGACCTTTAATAACTATTGGATTTATCATTTTTGAAAAAAGTTGGTTGTAGGGGACCACAATAATTATTCAAAAGCTCCCCAGAATGCAGGAAGAATGCTGTGAACACGTTTTCGGAAAATTACAAGAAAGGTTTGAAAAGTGGTTAACTACAGAATCGGGAAGAGAAAAACAGGAGAATAATATTGTTTTTAATTAGACCGTCATGAAGTTTTACTCAAATATGGAGCTACATTTTTGCCAGTTTATTTTGAAGTTATCGATTCAGCTGCTCTTGCGTCAAGTATACTACAAAGCAATTAAGTCAAAAAGTGAATGAATAGTTCAGAAAGACACAAAGCTCTGTTCTATCACACAATTGACTGTGATAATCATATGGCAGAGAAAAACGAATCCTTACAAATGATAAATATATACTACCACACCTCCGTAACAGAGTTTAGCCTCTTGTCATACATAAAGCAAAAGTCATGGGGATTTGAACCAACCCTAATATGCATTTTATCTCTATCACTTCCTTGAATTGATACGATTTGATGGGTGATTTGACTAATTACTCACACCATTACGTATCTGTTTTTTACTGCTTATAATCATAACTTATTATGGATAATGTGTATTTTGTGTCATTACTACCATTGATTGGATTAGATTACCTTTGGCTGGTTTATGTTTCGCCTGTAAGTGTACCAATATTACTGTGTATTAAAGTCTAGTGAAAATCTAACTAAGAACAATAACGTCCAATTATATATCTTGTTTTAACTTGTACAATTAGAATCTGTAATACTTTGAAACTATTACATTCATTGCGGATTTCAGTACATTTTTTCAAGAAGCTCTTAGAATCTGATAAACACTTCTATTTCTTCTGAATAAAGTTTAATCTTCGAAATATAACTTGTATATTATCTGCCTAGTATTTTCTTTCTTCTTGTTTATTGATGAAAGGTTCTAGTGGCACGAGATCTGATTCCAGTTAGATCGTTCGAATGATTGTTATTGAATCATATATGTCACCAATCCTCATACATAATCATTGAGTTAGTAAATAACGGAATTAAATAACTCAAATACGACAATAGATTTCTGAGTACATATATTTCGTACAATCGTTGATCGTAAAGCGAAACTAAACGAAATGACACGCAATGAAGAAGACGAATGAGCCAACTCCATTTAACCAAGTGTGAATCGAAATTTATAGTCGAACAAAAATAAGTTACGAACATGTGATGAGTAAGATTAAAAAAATGCACACATACGTTTACATAAAAACAATCAAGGTTGATAAGAGAATAATTAACAAAGTCAAAAATATGCCTGAAGCATAATGAATAAATTGGTCTGTCGGCTTGATATAGCAAGTTGAAGATTTCTAAAAACTAGGAAGTGATACTTCAAACACTAATCTTTCCGATTACTAATTATACTTTTATTACCTACCTTTTACTTACGCCTGTTACTCCCAATGGAGCATAGGCCGGCGACCAGCATTCTCCAACACACTCTGTCCAGGGCCTTCTTTTCTTGTTCCATCCAATTCTTGTTCATTTTTCTCATGTCTATCTCCATTTCCCGGCGTAATGTGTTCTTTGGTCTTCCTCTTTTCCTTTGGCCTTGAGGATTCCATGTGAGGGCTTATCTTGTGACGCAGTTGGGTGCTTTCCTCAATGTGTGTCCTATCCACTTGCAGCTCTTCTTCCTAATTTATTCCTCCGTTGGGATCTGGTTTGTTCTTTCCCACAGTAGGTTGTTGCTAATAGTGTCCGGCCAACGGATCCGAAATATTTTGCCTAGACAACTGTTAATAGACACTCGTATCTTCTAGATGATGGCTTTCGTAGTTCTCCAGGTTTCCGCTCCATACAGTAGAACTGTCTTGACATTTGTATTGAAAATCCTGACCTTGGTGTTCGTTGACAGAGAGTTCCTCTGAGTTCCAGATGTTTTTCAGTTGTAAATATGCTGATCTTGCTTTACCGATCCGCGCCTTCACATCTGCATCAGATCCATCCATGTTCATCAATGATGATATGCAAAGCTTCTCTGTCAAGTGAGATTCGATTGGTGCATGTTGTGTTGTATCAAAGAATCTTGATTATTCTTTTGTGTATGTTGAGACCTGCGCCTGAAGTCCCTCCGGGGGCTACTGCCGGTCCCAAGCCCGGATAAAGGAGGAGGGTTGGGCATGGGGTTAGCGACCTCATCACGTAGAAAACAAACTCGCTAAAAAACCGCTAACCAGAAAAAATTACCTACCTTTACCACTATGGGATTTGAATAGACAATTGTATCCCTGTGCTAATGTGGTATGGCAACTTGAACTGATGCACGTACGTACGTACGTACGTATGAAGTTTTATATTGTTGCTAACTGATTCATACTTAAATACAATATTTTTCTAAGAAAAAAAACCCCATTCAACTTACTTTAACTGTTCCTTATATTTTGACAAATAGAATAGTATATGTTTCACTAAGACAATAATACATGATGAATTTAAATTCTCCACTAAACTATCATCGTTACCATCATCATCATCATCAACATCATTCAAATTAATATTTTGCCAATATAATTGAAATGAATGAAATGACTGTAAAATGAAACATTCATATAAACTATCATTATAATGAACAAGATTATCATTGTTTAAATCACTTTGAATCATTGTTAATAACCAATGTAATCGAGGACAGAAAATAATCATACGAATTAATTGAAATATTGATTGATATAATAAATGACGATTAATTATTTCTGTGATAGAATCATTACGTAAATAATTAATGATAAAATTAATTAAATTAAATTTATGAATAAAATAAATAATAATTAATTCGAATAATTGATCAGTATTGATTAAATTTTGCATAAATGTAGACAAATATCCACTCAATGTATTACATAATATAATTGCATATTGATCTTCACGTTGAAGTTTTGATCGGATCCATTTAGATTGAAAATTATTTTTATGATTATTATGAATTGAATGATCATTTATAATTGATGTTTCATTTATTGTAGGAGTTGTAGCAAAACCTGTACCTTTTGCCCATAAATTAGAATTTATTTTATCAGATATTAATCCAGATGATGAAGGTATTGAATTGAAATTAATTTGAGATGATTGATAATTTGTGTTTTGTTTACACTTTTTATTATTATTATCTTGATTAGATACTGTGACTGAAGGAAATAATTCACGTTCAAAATCTATACAAGCTGGTTTAATAAAATGTATATAAAGTTCGTTGATTGATTGAATAGTTAGCGATAATGAATCATCTTCATCAATATTATTATTATTATTATTATTATTATTATTATTATTATTATTATTATTATTATTATTATTATTATTATTATTATTATTATTATTATTATTACAATCTAACTGAATTGAATGAATAAATGTTTTCACTTCATTCACATCAAATCTTTGCGGTAAATTTACACATGAACCATGAGATAAAACATACATGAAACTTAAGATAAGCTGTAATACACCAGAATTTAAATGTATCCAACGTAGTTCCCATAGAGATTGATGACCATTACCACGAACATTACGATTATTATCATTATTATTATTATCGTATAAATAACATAAACATTGAAATGGCAAAATATTTGAATGAATTAAATTACTACTTTGTAAATTATAAGTAGGATAATTATTTATATGAAAATTTTGATTATCATCTGTCCATAATGATAAATTAGAATATTTATTAGCTAATTGAATTAAATAATTTGGTAGATAAACTAAGTTTAATTGATATTTAATTATTAATTCCATAATTTTCATTGATGATTGAATTAAGTTTAATAAATTATAATCATAATCTGTTATTCTTAATAATAATATATAAGTAATGATACAATGTATTGGCAGAATCATGTTCATTGTTTCAATATTATCAAGATTATTGTTTATTGGAATGGATTGATAATTATGAATTATTAAGTGATCTAATTTATAATTATAGAATTTATTGGGAATATTTATTGAAAATTTATTAAAATAGAAAGTAATATAAGAATGAAATTGTATTACAGATTGATTCCAATTATTATTATTACTATTATTATTATTATTATTATTATTATTATTATTATTATTAGTAGTAGTAGTAGTAGTAGTAGTAGTAGTAGTAGTAGTAGTAGTAGTAGTAGTAGTGGGAGGAGGAGGAGGAGGAGGAGGAGGAGAAGGAGGAGTTTCTAATGATGATAAAATAGAATTTTCTCTTTTTTGTTGTACATTATTTAATAAACATGGAATACGCCAATGAACAATAGAATTTGCTATAAAATGTAATAGACCAGATTTTAAAAATTCACATATAAATGATGATTGAAATGTTTTTAATAAATAATAACAAGAAGGTGTGGAATTAGTCTCTTGGAATTCTTTTATTAATGATGATGATGGTTCAGTTACTGCTTTTGGTGGATGAAATGTAAATTTAGCATGTTCACATGGTCGAATTAATAAACAAAGTAGACGAGACTGATTAATCACAAGTGGATGATCATCAGTGAATTTATTCAATTGTTCCATAGTCCAATTATCTGTATAACCTTCTGGTAAAAATATACCATTATCCCAATCAATAGGTGATATAGTATGACCAATATTTGGTGTATGTTGAATAAGACATAATTCAAAATCATTAATTGTATTTATTTCAGTTGAACTTGATACATTTCTATTGATACTACTATTATTGGTAGTACTACTAGTGCGATTCATTGTGAACGGATGCAATAAATGATAAATTATTAATCTTAAATGTTTCACTAAAATTCTTCTTTCAAATTCATAATGATTAGTCCCAGTGTATTCTGGTGGATGATAAATATTGATCAATAATAAAGCTGTTGAAAGACTAGGATGAATGGAATAGTCTAGGTTGTTATTTGAAACAGACTGATGGATTTCTCGGCATAAAAATGTAACTAATCCAGATTTAGGTAGTTCAGATGACTGAATATTGAATGCAACTGGTGGACCAGTTATAGGCCATGGCAAATCAGTCGATGCGTGTGGATGATTTGAAGTGACTGCGAATACTGCAATTGTTTGTTTAAATGGTAAAGGTGTTAATGATAAAGGTTGTGCCAATAATAGTTCAGATATAAAATTGGATAGTTTGAAATCTACAATTAAAATAGATTTTAAAAAAATCAAATCAACTCATTCACCAGGTAATAAAGTATTAGTCACATCCAAAATGTGAGGGTTAATGACAGAAACTGACTTTCAAAATAGTGTGTGGAGTGGCGTTCGAACCTAAGGATTAATGGCCAACAGTCGAATACCTCAAGCATTAAACCACCACTCCAAGTAAAGTAACATAAAGGGAGTTTTCATATTTCAAAGAGAAAAATATATCAATATTATTATTATTTGAACACATAGATATTGGTACAAGGAGGCACCAAATACATATGCGCCACATAAATCTCATTCGATATGTGTGGGGGCTGTGATACTGCCCGGGTGCCCAGACCGAAGCAGATAGTGTTCTTAGGAGACCACACCCCGAGCCTTTGACCTGAAGGTCTGACCTACAAGGTAGTGGAGCATTGTAAGGAGATGCAGTCCCATGATAGCCGGTCACCAACGATTGGTTCATACGCTATTTGTTCCTTCAGGATACTGAGGCCCATGTGCACTATTGGTTTGGAATCAGGGTTTGCCAATTCCCTTAGGTGGACTCTCCATGTCCACCAACCCGGTTAAAGCGACGGACATTTGCTTTTCGTCCTCTTAATTTCGTAAACATCACGCCCACCACGAGAAGGCAGTGAGTAGGACTTCCGTGGCAGAGGCTATATACGCCTGACCATGTGAGAGCATTTGGAGAGGGGGAGCGGACTCTTTCCACTCTCGGCCGTACCAGGGCATTTGGGGGCGGATCAGTTTGTGCTGTCATATACCACCGTAGGAAATGAAAATAATTAATAATAATGAAAAAAGAACCAATAGTATGGACAAGAAGAAGAATTTAGATTGAGAAGAGAGGATAAATGTGAAAATGCTTATTTTTACTTTGTCACAATCAAGCTTTACCTAAATAAGTAGTAGAAATAAAAATTTCACTTGATGTGTTTAGAAGACACATCATATCGGTTATCAACAAGTTACACTAACCGACTCAGTTATTAATGCCACTTATGAATTTAATTTTGATGATGTAGCAGGTGTTACTTTCGACTCATGGTTCAAGAAATATGAAGATCTGTTCCATATTGATCTTTGCAGACTGGACGAATCTTCAGAAGTCACAATACTTTTAAGAAAACGTAGAATGACGGAACATGAACGCTAGATTATCTTCATTCTTTCAAAGAACTCATGAGAATTAAGTATTAATGAAGCAATTAAAACCCTGTTTCAGATCTTTGGAGAAAAGTCATCTCTTATTAACATCCGTTAGCAATGCTTGAAGAAAACGAAAGGATCCAAAGCCGACCGAGTGAAACATTCAGGAATTATGATCCGAGAATATTAGGGGTTCAAGTTGTCTTCCATGACAGAAGACCAGATTAAATGCATCATGTTTGTCTGTAGGCCTCACTCAACCAAGGATGCTGATATACGAACGAGAATCCCAAGCAAACTCGAACATTGTCCCACGATTATCCAACAGGAGGTAACTACCGAATGCCGAAGATTAGTGAATTTGAAACACGACATTTCGACGGTAGAGAAAGGTAGCCGGCCTCATTACATGGACACAGCCGAGAGAAAAGTTTTGTAAGGTCGTAAAACGCAAAATTATTGTAATGACAGAGACAAGCCATCATCGTCTATGCTGGTTACGTGGCAGTTGACATTTCAAAAACTTTTGTCCGTTTAAGAATCATCGTTGCACTACAAGTCATTGTAAAACCTGAAAACATTTCCAATAACCGAAAGTATATTCTAAAAGGTTCAAGACGCAAACAGCCAAGATAACGATAGCTCTTAACAGGACCGGTTCCCAAAACCAAAGAAAACATGTTTCTCTGAAGATCAATGGATGTAATGGTCACTTACATCTAGATACGGCTTTCGACATAACATTTATAAACAGAAGAACGTGGGAGAAGATTGGGAGACCACAAATATAACCAACTTATCAATCAGCACTTAGTGCATCCGGGGGAATGTCAACCATTGTCAGTGAGATATATTGTGGAGTCACAGTCATGGAAATAACAGAGAAGGAAGCAATATTTTTGACAGAACTAACCATATAATTAGTGTAAATCTCTAGGGAAAAAATTAGGTTTCGAAGGTCTGAATATAATCCATGCAATAACCTTATATCGTCTAGTAAACCACGCATTCTAAACAGATACTTAAACTGAATGAAAAAAGAATAAACAGATTATCAATGTGACATTGACCATGATTTAATCATACTCACTTTGCTTCATAAATGATTCTTTAAATGTTTCAATTAAACGATCAGTTAAACAATTCATTTTCAACTTTGAACTTTCTAAATTCAACTGATATGAATTAAATTGTTTAAATGATTTTGAAAATGACATTGATAATTTAACTGTTTGATATAAAGTAATTATAGCTTGTTGTAGTTGATGAATCTCATAAATACTTGAACTAAAATGATTATTATACAAATTATTCAATGATATAGATTGAAATAAAGATGATGATGATGATGATAATATCATAGTAAAATAAGAAAATACACTTGGAAATAAATGTTCACAAATTAATTGTCCAAGAATAATTCGTAATATTGTAGATTGATTTGATTGCATGAAATAATTTAATATATATAAATATCTAAGAGCTAAATCAATGGTAAGAATTAATCTAGTGGAAGAATATAAAGAAGAAGATTCAGAATTATTCATGATTGAGAAATAATTTGATAACCATGTACAACAATTATAAAAGAAATTATCTGATATAAATGGATCTGTTGTATTAATCGATTTATTAATTGAGAAAATAGAATAAACAATATAATCTGATGATAGAATTGAACTGAATACTTTCAATTGACTATTGAATAATAATTTATCATATTGATGATTAAATAATGAATGTGTTGTAGGAATTATTAAAAGTTTTGATAAAAGTATAGAGATGACATTTGGTTGGATTGTACACAAAGAGCACATTAAATTGATTAGTACTTTGGTAAATTGTTTAATTTCAACGATTAAGTTCTTAGGATTATCATCATCATTATCAATATCATTCATAGATAGATCAATTTGATAATGTTTTATAATTGAGATGTATAAATCATAAATAGAACTGAAAAAGATATTTTGAAAGAGTAAAACAAATGGTAGAGAGAGAATTGAATAATGTCGCATTATAATATATGTGGATTTAAAGTTTATAAATTTAAAAGAATTACGATAACTCATTTACTAACCACAGATTAGTATTACTGAGGTTTTAAGCCGGAGTGTTTGCATGAGAAGATTAGCAAAACTATCGAAATCCTCAGTGCAGTGAGGTTTGAAACATCAAGAATTGGTTTTACTAAACTCTAGTGTGTCAATTTTTCTAAGATGTTATACAGATTTAAAGCTAAAAAGTTCAGTAGATCTTTTTAATCAATAGATTTTGATTAGCAATGGAATCTAGGAAGCGCATTTCATTCTGATTGAAACTTTTCAACTGGATGTACCTACATCTTAGTGTTGATGTTTAACAGTGAAACTAGAACCAAGTACCCACACATTATCTAACGAGCTTTTGCAACAGGTATGATACTCATATGAACAACGGGATGATTTAAACACGAATTAATAAGATAATGAAGTTTGAAGCAAAGAGTAATGAGTTCGAGTTATTACTGTCATCTGACTTACCAAACCAATTTTGACATATTATATGAGCTTGCCTTATATACTATGTGGTTTAATCAGTTTATCATATTTATTGATGATTCCTAGAATTAAAAACGAGAAATAACCAGAAAAAGAAGCGAAACTTCCACACTTCACCAAATACATTCAACGAAGTACTCAAAGGGTTTTATTTAAAAGCCGAAGAAAAACACTTGAAACTTTTAAACAAAAAACTAGTCCAAAGAAATCTTTTTTTCATCCACATTCTAATTGTAATAAATCATACCTAATAAAATCAATTGTCACATATTTTTGCCATAAATTTGAACATTGATTCATTTCTATTGTTGTAATGGTAGTAGTAGTAACACTACTTAAACTCCATAAAACACTTGAAAAAACCAATATTAATTGAGACCAATGATTCAATAATTGACGATTATGAGAAAGAATATCTTGTTTTATTATAGATTCATTGAAGTGACTTAACCAATTAATGATTCGTTCAATACGTGTAGATTGTCCAGCATCTTGATGTAAACATAACCATGCAAATAAACGTTGATTTGGTGTAGATGTTAATGAAGCTAATGGACCATACCAATAAGATGAATTGAATTCGTTATCTATATCTGTATAGTCATAATTTAAGCACATACACATGCATACAAAAGAAAAGAATTAATACATCAGTAAGTATCATATAGTTTAAAATGTTGATTAATAGTAGTTATTTAGATGAACATGATGAGATATATCAATAAAAGCCAACTAAGAAACTGTTGTGAGATTAGTCTGACTTCAAAAGATTGGGTTTATAATGAGTGGATGAAAATAGTTCTCCTCTATGCTTACAAAACCTGGCCTCTTCGAGTTAATAATGTTCGACGACTCTTAACATTTAACCATTGTCGTCTCCAAAGAATACCTGACATCCAGTGGCAACAGAGTGTCAGTAAGTCTGACATTAGATAAGATGATTTGGGGGGGGGCGGAGTGTCGATAATTCAATTAGTATCATCATCTCAAAACACTGATTTCAATGGCTTAAACATGTACATTGTATATTATTTCCAGACGCTAGGGCTGGAGGAGACATGATATGAAAGGTAAGTGTACAGGACTGAAATCTGTCAGTTCACTAAAATTCCTCATCTGGAATCATATAGATAGTACAAATCAGCGACTCAGGATGAAAACCAGTGATGATTCAGCTGTCAAAAGGTAATATCGAACCTTATAACAGGGAGAAATTTTAGTTGTATATTTAGAAAAAACTGTTACTCTAAATAAATACCATTTCTATTCAATTCTCTATTAATTGTACTAGCAATCCGTCCTTTGTATCTTCAAAACATTATAATTTCATTTGTATGACACTTTTTTTTAAATATCGGGTTGTGGTGGAATTTACAAAAAGTAAATATTGTTAATAGGAGTGATTGCTGTATAGGAATGTAGATATAATTTCTAATTTATTTTCAGAAATAATCCATAATGTAAAATCATTTGTTGTTATTTAAGCACAACTATTTATGAGTAGTATTTCGAAGAGTGAAAGTTATGAATATTAGATAACTGATGAAGTAATTATCTCTACTGAAAGCATATAGGTCCTGATTAATTTAAATTAAAATTGAATACCTGGAACAGACAGTAATTCTACTAAATGAAAGGTAATAGAAAATAACATATTTACGGTAACTTATATCCAATTAAATGCAAGATCCAACAACAACAACAAACATAGAATAACCTAGTGGTGGTATCGCAGACTGTGAAGCAGAGTTCGAAAACACCAAGAAGCATTAGTGTAGGAATGGCTTACTGACGAGTGACAACTAGCACAATACCAGGATTTCTTTCCGATTACACCTTCAACCATCTAACATTTCAATATAGTACACGTGATTTTGAGTCTCTTCGACTAGTAGGCATATGGTAAATTGATCGACAAAATTCGATTAATACAACGAACTAAGCAAACATGATATTGGTCACTATCCCGTGATCAGTTAAGGTAGAATTTAATCTAAATGTAGTAAACCTGGAAAATGTTAGTAACACAAGAGTAGATATTGATTAGTGATCACATGTAAGCAACCGCTAATTTATTTAAAAGTAGCAATATAAATACGAAGTTCCAGTGAAAAAAGTAATATACTTAAATGTTTGAAATATACACTACTTATGATTTTATTACTAAATAGAACGAAATTAATTTGTAAATAACAAGATAAATGTTACTGCTGACATTGATCCATCACAAAGTACGAGACAATGCTATGCTGTCTGATCCAAAGTGCTAATCTAAATGCAACGCATTCCATGGACTATGACTTGATATCGTTGCAAAATTTACTCTGGTCTTAGTTAGCCAAAGACAATTAAAAGGAAGTTTTGAATTTTACATTTCTTGGTAGCTGGTATTCATTACCACGGTATGTCTATAATTTTGAGAAAGTAAATACAATTGAGTTCAAATGAAATTCGATTGACAAAAAGCAGCTGATGATATAATATTGGTTAGTATTAAATGGCTGACTAGTATAAACATCTCAGTCAAACAGGAAATTAGTAGCGGTATGAATTATCCAGTGTTATATTTCTGACCGTGACATGGAAATAAACCCTACAAGAAACATTCATCCCTACAAGCTTACAGGTATCTCATGTCAATGAGTATTGATTGGTATGAAATCTAGATGGTAAAGCTAAATGCCATGTATCTATGATCATGAAACAAATTAATTTGAAGCTGTTAAGAAAATTAGAAATGACGTCACCTGTACAACATCATAAAGGATCAACGTAGTGTCCTGGAATAACAGTAGAACAATACCTATTTGTGTAACTGAAAAAAAGCAAACTAACCCTGATTTGATTTCGACACACTTGTGAATGATACATCTTCACAGTTTATTATTAAGTCATCGTCGTTATTACCATTTAGTAATTTGGTTAATATATAATTAGCAAGACTATTACTACTACCATTATCTGTATTAACCAATAATCCAAGTAAAATACGTTCACACAATACAGCTGATGAAGGACATAATTTCCAAAACATATCAACTTCATTAATATAACCGATAGGTGAATAAAACCATTCATTTTGTAATATCTTATTTTCATTATCAGATGAACAATCACTGGTAAAATTGTATATATGACTGATCATTTCAAAAATTTGATTATGACATGCAACCATTTGTATTAATTGACGTGTACACATTGATAATTTTTTATCTGAACTAACAATATGTAAACAGTGTAATAATGAATTGATAAACTGATATGAATAGAATATATTTGGTAATAATTGTGAAAGCATTTCATTATGTAACAGATGTAATAAAACAATTGGTCTGAGAAGAAGTAAATAAAAAGAAACAAGAGAGAAAGATTTTAAAAAATGTAATTAAGTGATCAAACGTAAAAACATGACAATAAATTAATACTAATTGCAGATATTAGTAGTACTTACATAACATTTCATGTGAGGCAATATATTTGGTGTAGTTAGACTAAAATAAACTCATTATAGTTGAGTCTTTAAACTGGAAATTTATAATTGAAAGCTGAATGTGTTGTATAACTACTGAACAAGCACTGATCTGTCCTTATAAACAATACAAGCATATATACACATAAGGTAGTATAGCTTTGATTTTTTCCAAAAGAAAGATTTAAAATGAGTTGATCACTAAGCTATAATCAATGTCATATTCGTCTTATCCTGTAGTGCTGAACGAGAGTGGAGTGGGCCCGCCCCCCTCTCGAAATGCCCTCACACGGCCACGCGTATACAGCCTCTGCCACGGAAGTCCTACTCATTGCCTTCTCGTGGCGGGGGTGTTGTTTACGAAATTGAGAGGACGGGAAGCGAATGTCCGATGCTTTAACTGAGACGGTGGACATGGAGAGTCCATCTAGAGGAGTTAGAAAACCCTGATTACAAACCAATAGTGCACATGGGCCTCAGTATCCTGAAGGAACAAATGGCGTATGAATCAATCGTTGGTGACCGGCTATCATGGGACTGCATCTCCTCACGATGCTTCACTGCTTTGTGGGTCAGACCTTCAGGTCAAAGGCTTGGGGAGTGGCCACCTAAGAAAACCACCTGCTTCGGTCTGGGCACCTAGGCAGTATCACAGCCCCCACACATATCGAATGAGATTTATGTGGCGCATATCTATTTGGTGCCTTCTTGTACCAATATCTATGTGTTAAAATAAATAAATAAAATAGTAGTGCTGAACGAATTCAATCTGTCAAGTTTTGATGTAGCCACTAGTCTTAATGTATCAAATAGCTTAGTGATAACAACTCTGACTGTGAACTTAGGTGACCTTGGTTTAAACTCCACATTCAGCAAACCAGTTTCTTAAAGACTGCATGTACACCTTACTAATGAATCTATACAAGTACGAAACCAAGTTCGAGTACAGTTTTCTGTCGATTGCCCCAAACCATTTAACAATCACAATCCAAAGTGATTAACTATCGAAATATGGATCAGTACCAGTGTTCTGAGGGTATTGTGTACTTGTAGCTGGGTAAACAAGTTCTGGACTCAATACTGATAGGGACTTGGATAGGCTTCTTTTTAACTGATAGTAACAGCTGAGCGATGCTACCCGATGTTCAATTATTTCTCAATCGAAGCATGTTTATGGTGCGAATTATTTGCAAATTTATTTATTAAAAAAACTAATTAGTTATAAAAACGAGGTTGATAATCGCAGGAAACAAACAAACGTGTAAACAACTCACCTGATTTTATTTAACGAATTCTCAACAGCTAAATTATTTGCATTTGTGCAGTTAGTTTCACAAGTTTCTGTGAACAACAGTCTATTATCATTTGCGTGTCTTCCTAATAAGCGTAAAGTGTTCACACGAAGAGTTTTATTGTAATTCTGAGCATGATACAGTCTTATTAAAACATGTGATATCAACCGTGGTGGAAAAGTGATCGTATGAAGTTTTGACAATGATGACTCGTTACTTTTATGTGCACTGATAAATGTTCGTCGAGAACCACCAGGCAAATCGCGATATAGTTCCACCTCAATAGTTACATGACTGGCTATAGGAGAAAAATCGTTCAGAAAAATGGAAGTTTTCTGTAAGATTGTTTGTAATAAAATTAATTCACAATATACATACATTTCAATCCAATCAGTTAAAAACATGAGCCCATACAATAAAAAAATATGAAAAACTAGAGAAATAAGTTTGAATTCAGTATGTGGGATTTTTTTCGCGAATGCTATTAAAATTTCATAATTCATATTACAGACTAATCTTATTTAAATCACCCGGTTTTCAAACCGGGAAATAACAGAAAACCCTTTCGTCCTTGTATGGGACTCCTCTGTAGTGGCAATCCACGACCTAAAATTGAACCCTAGGCCTTTGAATATGCTCGTAAATTTTTAATCTCCAAACCACCAAGCCGAAATCCAGTAGTTTCCATGTCTAACCCCAAGAAATTCGTTATAATACACAACCACCTTTCAATCATAATAATATTCAGATAACTACACAATAATGATTTTTATCAGATGGCGTTTTGTGCATAATATAGTAATTTTAACAGTTGAGATCGTGAGTCAATTGAAGCTAGACCAACATGGAAAACCTGGAAGCACTGGACGGCCGTTTCGTTCTACTGTAGGACTCTTCAGCGGAAGAGAAAGATGGATGTCGCTCAATTTCGTGGATTAGTTAAAGTTAGACATTAACACCGTTGGATGCCAGCTCAATGATCTAATGGTTAAACGCTCACGCGCCAGACCGATCAATCCTCGGTTCGAATCTCGCAAGACGGCCGTCCAGTGCTTCCAGGTTTTCTATAGTGGTCTAGCTTCAATTGACTCATGATCTCAACTATTAAAATAATGATTTTACCTGATTGAAATGGATTCATCACTGACAACTGTACACATTCTAATTGTACTAAAAATGGAAATCTTACAATAATTTGTAATGATTCTTTATTACTATGAAAAACAAAATTAGTTTTAATAAAATCTGACAAATTGAAGTTTTCCGGAATTTGATTTGATGAATGGTTATTATCATTATTATTATTATTAGTAGTAGTAGTAGTATTACAATTGTTTACATCATTTAGAAGATTCGATGTAGACATTATTTTCGGTGCAAATGAATATGATGAAAAACCTAAATATAATGGAAATATAATATTTTCACAATTATCATTATGACTATTCATAATAGATAATGTTTGACATAATGATGTCATTTGTTCATCTAATATATCTGAATAAATACAAGATATAGGCGCAAAATCAATGAATGATTTATGATAATTTGTCATTGAAGTACAATACATTTCTTCATTGTTATCATCAATCGTATGATCTTGAGAAGAAGAAGAAGAAGAATTGATTTTCATAGGTTTATGTTGATTCGATTGAAGTAAATTCATACATTGACAATTAGTATTAATATGAGTTGATTGTTTTGGTTGTAAACGTTGTTGATAAGGATAATTGAAATTGGCAATATTTTGATAAAATTCTAATGAAGATTGTTTGAATAAATGAATTGGACCAAATAAACCAATAGGTAATGAATTAGTTAAATATTGAAAATTATATACAGATGATTGTTGATAATATGGAATATTATAATGAAATGATTGTTGTAATAAAGTTTGACCTAATTCAATTGTATTGATTGTATATAATTTTGTATTATCAAAAGAAGATAATGTAGAAATAATGGAAGATGAAGATGATCTAATAGATTTGTGATTATTAGTATCATTTATAAAAGTATTGAAAATAATATTTGCATGATTATTATCATCATTATTGTGTAATTCTAAATTAGATTCAATACATAAAGCTAATAATAGAAATAATGGGCATGAATTTAAAGGAATTGGAGATATAAGCGATTGTAACAAGTATGTTTTGAATGTAACTGCAGATTTTGACATAACCATTGATGATGATGATGACGAAGAATCAATAGAGTCCAAAGATTGCATAACAATAATTACACAATAAAATAACCAATCACATATACTAACTGGTTTAAAATGATTAATAATTAACTGAGTAAAATGTTTCAATGTTTTCCAACCATTAATCATGCAAGATAATGTTATCATTGTGCTCATAGGTGAACTGATATGAGCAAAATTTAATGAGGATATAAATAATTTAATATTTTTGATAAAAAATACTTTTATTTTATATTTATCATGTATATTATTGAAAGTTTCTGTTAGAATTCTACAAAGATTTCCAAGAATCAATGCTAAACATTTATCATTGTATGTTTTATTAGATAGAATTTGTGAATACATTCCACTTGTAGAGCATAAACCATATAAATAACAACAGGTTAATTGTCGAATAAATGATGAGGAACAATTTGATAATGGTGTAGTAGTACTAGTAGTAGGAGTTGAAGATTGATCATTCGGATTTTGTACAATATTTTTAGAAGGATCACTAATTAATCTTCGTCGTATATGATTACTAGTTAGTGTGGACCATAAGGTGAAATTTTTATGACATGATTCATATTCTTCATCGACAACAGTAGTATAACATGAAAAACACAACAAATAAGCCCTATTATTATTATTATTATTCGTTGATGATTGTTGATTCAACTCAACAAGCTGATCACATAGATAATTTAATAAAATTTGTACAAGTTGAAGTAGATAATCCATTGGTAAATTTGATATTGTATGCATGGAACATGTGGTGATGGTTGTTTGAATTTCTTGTTGGAGTGAATCAGAATCATTATTATCATTGTCAACGGTGTTTGCTTGATTGAATGATTTAATACGTGAACATATGGCTGTTAAAAGAACGGCTTGTAAATCACATGGACCTTCAATAATTCTATTTTTAAGGGTAAAATAAATGTAACAAAGGGAAAACATAATAATATAAGGTTATAAATGGGTAAGATATTAAAATTTCAATAAATTAAGCTGTAGTTATACGTAATGATCACTGAATTCAAACATTTTTTACACCCCCAAATGTCCTAGTACGGTCGAAGATGAGGGGAGTCTGTCCTCTCTCACGAAGTGATCTCACATGGCTATGCGTACACACCCACTGTCAGGAAAGTTCTACTTACTGCCTTCTAGTGGAGGGGATGTTGCCTAACCTAGTTAAGAGGACGAAAAGCTAATGTCTAGCTCTTTAAACGGGTTGGAGTTGGAAAACCCTGAATCCAAAGCAATGGCGCATAAGAGCCCCAGGATCCTGAGGGAATAAATGGCGTAGAAACCTATTGTCGGTCACCGGCTACCAACGGACTGCATCTCCTGACGTTGCTCTACTGCCTTGTGAACCAGACCTCTAGATCAAAGGCTCGTGGAGTGGCCCCCGCTAAAAACCAACTGGTTTGGTTTTGGCGCCCGGTCAGTATTTTAACCTTCACAGAAATAGAATTGCAAAGTGTGGCGCATATATATTTAATGTTTCATTGTACTAATGTTTATGTGCTTAAATCAATAAACGAATACACCCCCAAACACTTTAATGACAATCATTAATATTCTCGAGAAAAGCTTCACTTTGAGATTACACTAACATCGCAGAAGAATTGTGGTCAAAAAGAATTAGCATAGTACTTTACCCTGTAAGACTAAATGATGAACATAAAATTCCAGTCGCTAATACATACAATAATCCATCTACTAATGTCGGAGTTCAGAAGGAGATATCGGAAAGTGTGTAAATTTCTAGATCTTTTTCCTATGTGTCACTGTCGATTGAAGAAGGCCTATAAACATTTTGTCTGCATTTATCATCTTAAAAATTGGTATAAGACTAAGTTGACCCATTATTAAGTGCAAATTTTTTGAATAACTGCGTTGCATTCAGTTGGTACATTGAATTTTTTTCACCAGAATTGAATCATATCTTTAGTTCACTATTTTTTATTTGATCACTAAAGTGAAAGCACAATATACAATTAATAGTATTCCAAAGATTGATTAGTATCTTATTTGTTCCTTTCTGATGAGAACAAAATAAACTACCTTGAAACAATCCCTTCTACATTATGATTGGTCATTTATTACTGATAAAACAAAACTAATATTTATTAATTGATAATAACTGAAGAAGAGTGTTCAGATCTTCATGTTGTTTCCTTGTTAGATAAGAAAAGTGGACTTACTTCATACGAATGTGGTATATTTTGTAAATTCGCAATTGTCTTATTCAAATTAGTTACAACTGGTTAAAAAAGTTCTATACTATCATATGTAGTCTAGCTGTCTAACGGAACAGGAAAATGTTTTTCTTTTAAAACTCACTTTATTGAACTGTGACGTAGTGAATACTGAAAAACTAGAGACTTTCGAAATTATTTTATGAAATAATTATACGTAAATATTTAACGACAGACTAATAAAAGTCAAGATTACTTTGATCTTATGCATATCAATGGCCAAAGCTTAAGATGCTAAACCATAGACGTAGTAGTACAGAATGAGAGAAGAAATTATAACGTGGAGTGTGAAAAACGATTTTCCTCCTGATATTAAATAATATTCAGCCATAAAGTCAGTTCTTTGGAAGGGAGGAAGTAGACATTTTTCCAACAGATGGACAAACTAATCAACATATTGAATAATCCATTTCTTTAGTATACAAGTAAAAATTACTTAAAGTATTGAAAAGAATATTTTAGAACAATTTTGTTAACCTAAGACAAACAAACAAACAAACAAAGCTATTTTTAAAAACTTACTGAGCTGAAGTATTTGCCTTTGGAAACAAACCAATTAATTGATCGAGACAAAATTTATCAAATGGATGACAATCAGAATTTATTAGTTTCACTGATGAATATGCAAACCATGTGAATAGTACTTCTAAAGCTAATGTACATGAACGGTTTGTACCATTTCTTAGTGAATAATCTGTAAGTATAGTGTTTAGAAATATTGAAAAACTTGAAGATTCTAATATGTACAGTCGTAGATCTGATGATTCAGCTGATATTGCTAAAAAATGAATAGACAATGTATAAAAATTACGCAAAAATTCAACAGATTTTGAAGATAGGTAATGTTGATCAATTGTTTGTGTCTTTTTCATTGATTGAACAAAGTTTTCCAATAATTTTAAGACATTTTGTAAACTTTCCAACTGAATATTTATTTGAAGATTAGCCTTTACATAACATTGGCATTTTTTAAAAGTTTCATCATTTGAAGTAAGTTTCCAGGGTCTATAAGTAAAAAAAAGAACGAGAGAGGAGCGAATTAGTTTATAATGGCATAAGGTTTTATATGCTCGAATTTGAACCAAATAGTTTATATGAAGATTACTGACAGCACTCTTAGGTGGGTTCAACTAGAAAACCTGCGAATTACTGATATGTTTTAACTAATAATTCAATGCTCTATTGAATCGAATTAAATTGAAGGCCTGTGAATAAAAAAATATGTTAAGAATTAAAGATATATGTGAGCCAGTTAGTCATTAGCAACGTAGGAACCGGGATATATATGCATCGGCATCACATCAAGATTGAAATAAAAATTATCAAGGTGACTAGAAAAAGTAGTGGTAGTAAAAACACTAGATAGAGATTTTTTGAGAACAGAGAATAAGTTGGGAGAATAAAGACAGCAAAATAATTTTTTAAATCTGAGAAAGGAGGAAAATAAGTAAACGTATCTGAACTATTTCAAGCACTTATGAACAATAACACAGATTCATTAGTTATGATCATTTCGCGAACCTAACAATCAGTTAAGTATACACTTACTAATATGGATCATACCAACAATCGACGACTTTATAAATTTATATTATGTCCAAGGTTCGCTCACATCAAACTTTTTTACAACTTATTTCTACATAAGAAAATTCAACTTACTTGAAATTTGGTTCACCAACAATTCCACAAAATAGGTACAAAACATTTGTAAGATATGGATGTTGACCAGACAAATTATCATGAACCGATTGTAGCTTATTATTATTATTATTATTCAATTGACCAATAGATTTAGCATCTTTCAACATGAGATTGATACATTCAGAAAATATTTCACATAATACAAAATGACCATTGTTGTTTGATGATGTTGTTATACATGAATTAAGTCTGTTTCTTTGTGCATGATTATGATCAATGGGATGTTGATCAAATGGTTTCAGTAAAATAGACTGTGCTCTGTTCAATAATTGGCTAGGTAATAAGTGCCATAATAAATCTGTAGTTTGTTGTAGGTGATAATTTACCACAGAATTGTTTGGATAAGGCCACGATTTATTTTGAGATTTATGAAGATCAATACTAAAAAGAAGCAAAAAAGAAATAAAATAAGAAGAATATTAAAGGTATAACATTGAAAAGAAATATTGTAAATGTAAATGGTGTGAACTGATAGTCTGTCCGATAATTAGACAAAATGAGGTCATAAAAACTCTAGTCAATATATTCTATGAAAAATCAATTTGGATCATGACATTTAATTCCTAAGCAGTTTCGAGTTTCGTATATGATTATTTCAATCCAGTTTTCTTTACATAAGTACTACAATTACAAATAGCAAAACTAAAGAATTGAAAATCACAATGTTAACATTTTATACCTTTCAATATTTCCATAGTTATCTGTTTTTATGGTCTGTGGACAATCAGGAATGCATTCACTATTAAGAGTAAGGCATAAACATTCAATAATCATATCATTCAAAAGAGACGATTGATCACCAAGACGTTGACAAAAGTTAGTTAGGAATTTAAAAAGTGCAGATTCGTAAATATTTCCATCAGGAATGAAATATTGACGAATTCGATCACCTGAAATATGCCAACAGATACGACCAAGTAGACGACAGATAACAAAACAATTCTGAAATAAAATTGACTCTCTTGACATTGTAGAGCTATTATTCACAGATGATAAATTTAATAGATTATTTAAAAATTTTAATGTAACATCGGTTAAAATCTGTAATAGTTGGATTAAAGAATTTTCAGTGGAAGACTCATCATCACCAAACATACAGAGAAATCGTTGTTGAGGAATTTGATAGGTTTCCAGAGGAATAAAAGATTTGCTAGGATAGGTATTGGTTTGTTGAATACCTTCTGGGATACACTAGAAAATAATAGGAAGATATGAAGAAAATGAAGTACTAATATGTGCAAATAACTGAAACTTTTTCGAAAATCCAGTTTTCTTCTAAAAAAAGAACATTTACACTTATTTGGAAGATAGAATCTGGGATTATACATGAAACTACGGATGAGAAAGCAATATGTTACTTATCACGATGAACAAATAATCTATACATAGACGATGAGTTATACCCGAACGAAGAATAAATAAATGGTAATTGCTAGGAATCACTTATGAACTATTATTACACATATTCTTATTGAATAATTATTAAGTAACTAGATCATATTCATATTTTTTTAATCATAAACTTTCATTTGACCAATCAGCTACCAGTATACGATTAACTATTCTTCATTTATTCCCAATTTATCAGTTACAGCATGCCACACTCACATACACTTTTGGCTTGAACTTATATAATTATTATTTCTCATTTTATGGTGTGATGTGGTCTGGTCTGCTTGTATCTAAACTACGTATATCTGAAATATACGACTCATATGGCGGAGGTTAATATTTGTGTTCTGGACTGAACGGAATGGGTTAGGCGACAGGTTACTATATAGAGGACCAATAAGGACTCAGACTTGAATCAAAGCTGCTAGTGCTGTTTTAAGACGTCATTGTTTTGGCATAAGGACATGGTCAATAGGATTCAGTATTCTGATTAGCGAATCTGTCACGTGATATTTGACTGGTCATAGGACATCACAGGATGCGAAATTGAACATGTCATAAAAATGACTCACATAGATTCCTGATCCACAGATCCCTGTACAAGATATAACTTAAGATTTATATATTTTCCAAATCATTACACACAGTATATGAAAAGACTATTTCAACAGAGCTTTCATTTTCTGCAGTAAACAATACAGGGAGATCATAGAACTTTTCTGAAAGGAATCTTCTCATATTTTAATTATATTCAGCATAGTTCTTAGTAAGTAAATCTGACGGGAATTACATCACTCTTTTTACGTATTAGGTGTTTGTAGGTTACCTCGATAGGACCCCTCTTATGATTGTTTGAATGCTGCTGTTCAATATAGATATTGAGCTAACTGGCATTCGTTAACAAGGTTCACTTAAAATCTTGTAGCAACTAGGGCTTCACGTGATATTCGAATCAGTTTTAGCTAGATCAATGAACGGAGATAATAAATATTGAACTCTACAGATTATGCACTCTATTTCGTGTACTTTAACTTAGAAAGTTCTTTTAGAAAAACGAACTAATACAACAAGTTGAACCAGTTAGCATTTAAGATTTACAAACAACCATAGTCACATTACAATAAACATCAAAAAATATTTCACAAGGCTATCAAATGTGTATCAATTATAGAAAATTGTATTAATTAAACTGTTGGCTAAGTACTGATACTAATTATGAATTATTCGGAATTTTTTAAAATTTATTCAACAAATTATCTAATAATAGTGTAGAAAGTTTGAAGGGATTATTGAATCTTTCACGTTTCTAATCACGGAGTAATTTAGTTAGACAACCACTGAAAAGCAAGAAGTGTTGGACAGTTGTTTTGCTCTAGTATAGGACTTATCAGTAATATGCATACATGGCTTCATCGTGGATTAGACGCAGGACATTTGATCTCGCGATGACCGTTTAACCTCCAGACCACTGAACCATGTCATTAAAGAAGCAGTTACCATTACATTCAATAGAACATAACTGCGCAATATCATGAATTGATCAAAGTTGAAGATGTACGCTTTCGTGTACCAGCTAAATGCTCACTGAGAGCTGAAGGTTCTGATTTAGGTCTTCGATAGGGTCACCGAACTATTATTAATAATTTATTTAAATGAAAAAAAATCCGAAAAAATCACAATTAGTATCAGGACTTAGCAACGGTTTAATTATTACAATTTTCTATACTTAATAAACATTTGATAGTTGCGTGTAATATTTGTTTCCTAGTACGCCATATAAATCAATTAACAATCCTAGGTACTTTTAATAATTGAGATCATGGGTCAACCATAGAAAACCTGGAAGTACTGAACGGCCGTCTCGTCCTAGTATAGGACTCCTCAACAGTACCCACCCACGATTCTACCTCGCTACATTCGAACACACGACCTATCAGTCTCGCGCGCGAGCGCTTAACCAACTAGACCACTGAGTCGGCATCGAATGGTGTTAATGTCTAACTTCAACTAATTCACGAAAGTGAGCAACACATTCACCATTGTCTTCAGTGAGTTACTATCTCACAACTAACCCGGTCGAACTCCACTGGTCACTGCTTCTCACTAGAACTCCATGGTGGTCTAGCTTCAATTGACTCATGATCTCAACTATTAAAATTACTATAATATCCACCAAACCTCTTAATATTAATTCTGGAAACCTTCAATAAGTGTAAGAACAGTGGTAAAAAAAATAACAAATTGCGACGCATTACCTCTGTGTTTAAAAAAAGAATATTAAGCTCAAATGTTGAACAAAAATACTAAAATAACAGAAAGTTCGCAACACTCATTGTCTCTATGTTTATCAACTATTACTTTTCATAATGTTGTCTTTTTATGTTGGACATGTTTTAGAGAGGAAGAGACAGACAAAATTAAAATGTGTTATCATTTATTGAGCTTGATAGCTCTACTTCGATAACATTCATAGAAATAATTTACTGACATTTTTCTTTAAAAATAGAAAACTCACTCGTCGCATTAATACTGATGTCTGTGAATCAATATTTCGTCGAACAAACAATGCTCCCAATGGGAATAAATCTTTCTGAATAATTTGGCGATGATAATCACGATTAGCTGAAATTATAAAATATGAAATATTTAAAAAGCGTTCGTAATCAATAACTCCGAGGAACAAATCATGATGTTAGTTAACATAGTTTACAGATGGTCGCAGGAGAAAAAGTCTATTCACTTTGTATTTTTTCATTTGATTTTAAATTTATGAGATTCATTCATGATTACAGTCTGTTTAGTGATACTTTCCGAGGCAAAATCTTGATCTTTTTACTTACAAACAATGGACAACGGATATGTATTTGTTATTCACTCCGTGGTTAAAAAGTTGAAACACCATTCCCAAAAGCTTTTCTAAACAACCCACTTAATCGCTCTGGCTGGGAGTTCATTACCATCCTTAAGAAGAATCAGGAATAAGTCAATTACCCCTGCGAATTAAAGCGCTTCACGAGTCTAGTAAGGTGGATAAATCCTTACTAACCATAGAGGACGAGACAGTCTGATTTATGTTACTGAAACAACAGATCAGCCGACCTGTTCCTCCAAGAACCCAATCCACTATTCGAGACGCCGTCGAATCTTATTGATTCACGTCCTATAAACTTCATAGTTTGTAACAGTGACATCAGATTTCATTTGCCAGTGGCTCAGAAGAACTTAAATATCTTCCGATAGTGAGCAGATACTACTGCTGCTTCTAATTAGATAACGTATTTCGAATAACAGGTTTCTCCGTTGTTACAACAATTTTATAAAGCTTACTTACTAAAGAAAATACAATTGTCATCACACTCGTAGTTTACCAGAGTAACCTGTATCCCTCAAGTATTTGTACGGAGCTTGCAGAAACCTAGTTTTATTATTATTTATTTAAACACATAAACATTGGTACAAGGAGGTACCAAGTAAATATGTGCCACATAAATCATTAGATTTGTGTGAGGGATGTGATATTGTCCAGGTGCCCAGACCGAAGCAGGTGGTTTTCTCGAGGGACCACACCCCGAGCCTTTGACCTAAAGGTATAACTCACAAGACAGTGGAGCATCGTGAGGAGATGCAGTCCCATGGAAGCCGGTCACCAACAATTGGTTCATACGCCATTTGTTCCCGCAGGATACTGGATCCCATGTACACCATTGGTTTGGAATCCGGTTAAAGCGCCGGACATTCGTTTTTCGTCCTCCCAATTTCGTAAGCAACACACCCGCCACGAGAAGGCAGTGAGTAAGACTTCCCTGGCAGAGGCTGTATACGTGTGGTCGTGTGAGAGCATTTTGAGAGGGAGGGCAGGCCCACCCCGCTCTCGGCCAGACCAGGGCAGAGATTTTTTGCAAAGCTCCTATTTTCACTATCTTATACAAATGCACTCAGGTAGTTCAAATTGGCTTTCCGATACGTTTATTGTGCATCACAACTAGTGGTACCAATAAGTTTTTTTTAAATCAATGAATAGAGATATACAGCTGTAACTAACTGATTAAAAGTCTAAGCCGTCGACTATTTAAAAACACCAATCTACCTTATATTTATAAACCGTGTGAACAGTTACTAAACATTAAATTAGTACGACTAAATGTTTCAATTAACTAAAAATGTTAAAACGTACTATTTAAGGTGAATTGTAACAAGATTGTTATACTTTATTTATGCATGAAATTCAATGTGAATACATTTTCCACCGTACAGAATAAAAATAATTGATTAATTTGAATAAGGATAGAAATTACTAAATAACTTTGATTATATCTATTAAACTTGCAAAGAAATATATGTATATTTAGAAAATATTCAAACACATTGAAAAGAAATTCGCTCGTTGTTATTGAAGAAAACAGAATGGTGGCTCGACTTTCAACTGTAGTGGACCCTACTCATAAAAATTGCTTGTAAGTAGTATATAGCCCAATGTGGCGTCGAAACTGAAACAGTCATCAGACGGAGAGATCAGTTAACTGAAAGTACGAAGTAGATAGAACGTTTAAAGATAAGACGAGAAAATTGTTCAGATTGTAGAACACATTGAAAGATTCTAATGGATAATTGATAAATATACATTCCTTCTGCCAATTGTCATCATCTATATAACCACTTATTCTCAAGTTTGAATCCTGTTCTTGTTATAACAATTTAAACAACAGAATAATAATATCACTAATAAATATGTAATATAAAGCAAAGTACAAAAATCTAATTGTATTTGGTAAACAGATTGATTAAAATAAACAATTAATTTCAATAGTTGAGATCATAAGTCAATTGAAGCTAGATAACCATGGAAAGCGTAGAAGCACTGGACGGCTGCTTCGTCTTAGTATGGGACTCCTCAACAGTGCCTACCCACGACCCCGCCTCGCTACATTCGAACCCACGACCTATCCTGCACCCCGCAAGACTCGAACCCAGGACCTATCAGTCTCACGTTTGAGCACTTAACCACTAGACCACTGAGACGGCCGGGATCCGACGGTTTTAATGTCTAACTTCAACTAATCCACGAAATTGAGCGACACATCCACCATTGTCATCAGTGAGTTACTATCTCACAACCGACGCCGTTGAACTCAACTGGGCACTGCTACTCACTAGAACTCCAGGATATACCTCTTGAAGCCAGTCACTAGTGAGCATATGTTGATTAGTATCAGAACGGGTTTTGTGGAGATTGTAATAATTGCAATAGTTGAGATCATGAGTCAATTGAAGCTAGACCACTATAGAAACGGCCGTCCATTACTTCCAGGTTTCCCATGGTAGTCTAGCTTCAATTGACTCATGATCTCAACTATTGAAATTATTACAATCTCCACAAAACCCCTTCTAATAATAAACAATTAAATTGAGAAATATTAATGATTTGATATAAAACGAGAGAAAGAAAAAATCAACAAAATGTACCTGCATATTGAGTTGATAGATTAGCTAAATGTTCTAAATGCCATCGATAAAATGAAACAATACACAATTGATATTGTGATAATAAATTATATTTATAAATACCATCAGTTATTTTAGTATTTATTGTTTGACAATAAGGATATATAGCATTACATCGATTATTATTATTATATAATTGATGAAAATAATGCCATTTTAATAAACCATTTATATCTATTTGACCATTATATGATAATTGACGCATATTTAATACGGTTAAAAAATCATGTAAAGATTTATGAACAGTAAGTAGAGATGAACAACTATTTTCTATTATGGTATCAATAATTCTTAGAACATTATGAAATGTTTCCAAATTAAATGAATCCTCTTTATTATTCTTATCTATGGAATCCCATATATCATGAAGAATGTATACAGAAGTATCAAATAGATAATTAGACATTCCAGAATGAATTAAACGTTGTAATATAGCCCAAAATAATAGTTGTTGTCTAGATTCATTAGTAAATGCAATTTGTAAATCATTCGATTTTATTATTGAAAAATTATTTTTCAATGTAGAAAATTCATTAATGAATCTATAAAGATAATTATGATCAGTATGATGAATTGGTAAAATAATTGAGTTGATTTTCATAAACACTGGCATTAATCCAACTGTAAGAATCTGTTCACAGATTTTAAAAAAAAACAACAAAATAATCAATTTTCATATAGAAACTTGCAATAAAATTAACCAAGACAAAATAACCTAAGATATATATATATATATATATATATATATATATATATATATATATATATATATATCAGTAGCATGTTTCACATTAACAAAAAACATCTAATCAGTCAGCTAGTCATGAATAATTTACAATTCAGGGGTCACTAAATTAGTGAGTAATATCATGTTATGTAATGTCATGTCACTAATTCAAATGACTTGTTATTGAGTGCACTAGGCTAATATGTTATGTGGTTACAGACAGTGTTAGTCGGTACTTGTCACCTAAGCATACCTGGAATTTTTTGGGGAAACAACGTTCTCGTGTTGAGATTTGAACCTGTGGAACCCAATGCTTTTGTTGATGAACACCTATCTAACAGCCATAAACAATGTTAAAGGTGAGGTAAATGTGCATAGAGTGAAGTTGATACGATGGAAAGAAAAATCAATTTTCGATTAATTTACTCATTGTCAGTTTTATTCAACATCACATTCATTCTAATTCAATGTGATGATCATGCACAGCAGTATTTGTTTTCTTTTGTCGCATGATATTTTATTCTGTATAATATACGATAACCTTGTATTCCATTGACATGAACTATACTCAGTCTGTGATTGGTTATAACTGAGTATGTGATTTAATTCTAATTATTAATCAAAATGGGTGTAAAATCAATATTTTGATCATCGCCGTCGTCGTCGTGTTTTGGGGCTAATAAATCATCACTTATACTAGTCTTGTGTTCTTACTTCGCATTGTGGAAATTGCAAGGGTCTCTTGTTCCTAGTATAGGTGTTCAGCGATTTTACCGGCACAACAATTGCGACGACCGAACACAACAGAAATCCTCCAAAAATTCCATCCATATAAGGAAATGAAATCAACAGAGAATTTAAAATAATAATAGAATTTGCAATTTTAAAGAAATTAAATGAAACTAAAGAATAAACAGCCAGTCGGACGATTTGATCAAAAAAAAGCATAAATCGACAACTTATGCACTGGAGGTAGGCTAGTAACCCTACTTTTTAGGCTTAAGCTCTAGGTGCAAAAGAAATAGGTGCAAGCCATTATTAATATTTAGATCGCAGTTGGAGGTAGTCAACAGGAAACCCTGGACCCGGGTTTCGTGCAACTTGGCACTCGTCAGCAAGGTGTACCTGTAATCTTGAGGGAACTGGTGTCCCTGGCGGATTCGATCTCGTGTCACCCAGCATTCGATCTGCACTAATAAGGACTAGACAAGCATGACATTGAACACCACCCAGTGATCAATCAATTGTGATTGCAAGCCATTATTCTTCTATGGCCCTAAATTTTCATAAATGGTAACATAATTTTATTATATCCACTTAATATGCTTTAGTCTTCTTAATTCTAATTATTCGTTATTATCACTTTTAAGTTTTTGACTTATTCTTCATCCTTCTTATTATCACATTTGATTTCATCTTATTATTTCTTATCAATTCTCGATTATTAAACAATTGTCTTTAACACATGATATAAAGCAATTGTCCTCCTATTCTTCAATAGACTATTTTATTTGTAAATTAACTATAAATAGGATTGTACAGCTTGAGTAAATGATATAGTTGGAAAGAAAAAATTTCTTCGCTGAATCATCATAATTCTTGAATAAAAGGTATAGAGTAACATATTTTAACTCAAGTACTGGTTGTAATCTATAATAATTAATCCTAAGTATTAGCATATAGGAAAAATAAAAACGTCAATGAAGAAGAAATATCATTCACACTAAAAACTGGACCCAGTAGCATAGTTGTGTGCAACAGGTTGACGTTTGAAGAGAGTTTTAAAATGAACACCAACGCTGAGACTCAACAGTATGAAATTTAGTTGATAATTTTCAAATAGGAAAAAGTGTCCAACATCAATTTTACTTTTAGTTCCGATAAAACAGATTTAATTAAGATTCAAGATTCAATAGAAGATAAAGCAATGGATCCATGTACTCAATCCCAATAGATTTAGAATTATGTTAACTGATGTCTTTCATTGCAAATGACAATTAGTTTGTAGACATTAATCAGATATATTCCACCTACTGAAACAGCTCAAACTAATAATCAATAACTTCATGAATTAATCCCTAGTTTTGATTTAGCCACCTCTAGCCTTTTTCTTTTCCTATCTTAACAGTAATTTTACGTGGAAGTTGGCAATGGATGAGAATCGGTGACACATGTCCTAATCACCAGAGCGTAAATGACAAAATACTGACAAAGAATAAACAGCTATCCAGAGTCTAACTATGATTAATCCATGTTGTAAATTGTGGAAGATAGGCAACATTTTCTGGTCATAAAGTGCCTAGAATTGGTAAAATCTATTAAGATTATTATAATCGTTGTACTGAAATATTTTTCGTCAGTTACATGGCTACGAAAACTAGGACATCATGAAAATCAAAGTAATCTGGCTAATCATTAATCTGAAGTTATCACACAGGAACATTTATAGATTAGAGATAAACACCAATAAAAAATGATAACCATCTATGAAAATCTAAATTAAAATATATGTTATCAAGAGAGAGACATACAAAAATAGACAGTCTTTTTTTATTACGAAAGAACAAACAAAAAAGAAACATAACTTACTTGCATTGAACGACTACCATGAATAATCATATCATTTAAAAATGTTGTACAACACTTATCAACATAATTTAAAAAGGTGTAATCATCATCGTCTAATGGTGAAACTCCTGTTGATTGGGATAATAATGAAAGAGGTTCTATCACTGACCAGATTTCATTTGCATGACTTAACAAACACAGTAAACAATGTTCCAAAACATACTTCACTTTATCTGGATACAAATACATTCTTATCTGTCCATTAGACTAAAATTAAACAAAATGGAGGAATATATGTATAGAAAAAAAGATATCGTTAAAGAAAAAGACTTAAAGACAGAGATGGATGGTGGCTAGTAATGAGATCTACAGTGCGCGTTTCGTTCAATTTTGCACTCATCAGCTGGACTTCACTGCTAGACATTATCAAACTCTGCTTATAAAGTTTTTCAACTAACGCCTATACCGAGGTAATCCGCACAGGATTCATATATGACGAAAAGAGACTGATCAAAAACAGTAGTGTAAATGATGATGAGGAAGACTGAACATAGAAGATGGGGATCAAAAAGCAATGTACTTAAGGAAAGAAAAGTACGAAAATCAATATATAAGGAAAAGGTAAACAAAATACACATCTGTAACAATGTAATCGGTCTCGATCTATGCCACGTCATGGTTCAGTCAATGTAACCTTTTTCCAACCTACCTTCGAACCAACCAGAATGAGACGTCGCAGTAAGCATTTTGGACTAAGAGCTGAAGTTGTTTTCATAAGGGCTTTTAAAGCCTAATTTATATGGAATACGACTCCAAAGAATCTGTAATATAAGTTTAAATTCAATTAACTTATTCATTAGGTACTTAGGTCTGAGTCACATTTTAAGTGTAAAGGTTAATCGTACGATCCAGCTGTCCAATCAAAGTGAGTGGAGAGCGGTTGGAAGCCGGGAATCGGCAGTTAAAAGTTAGACGCCTTAACTACTCCGCCACCACTATCTGGAATAAATCGATGTGAGCGCGTACAACAGATTGCCGTGTGATATTGAATAGAAAGTAATTAATTGCGGAGTTTTTATGGTTGAGTTTTTTTTTGCTGTTGGAAAATTAATCCTATTGGATAGGTCTAAACTATAACGCACCAGCGATTTCAAACTTGAACGCCTAATACTGACATTTTAACTGCTCCCTGGTTCCCAAGAAATCTCTTATACTTGAACTTCGAACGAAAAACAAAAAGTGGGGAGTGTATAAAGAAGATTTACTTCCAAGGTTACTTTAGATACAAGAACAAGAATATTCGTAGGCCTATGGGTAACTTTGATATCTTTGAAGCTTCTGGAAATATGTTAAGTTTAGTAAACAAAAATCGGTACTTATCCCGTGAAGAGTTGATACACAATTCACTGATTTTCCAGATTTATCTACAGTTTCCAGTGAACGCTAAATGAACAGTATTTTCAACCTTTTTCTGAGCTTTAAAATACCTTCTCGAGGAATAGTTGAATGCTTCAAACATGATCCTGATTAATTATTCAATAATTCAATGACAAAACTAATTCATTACAACATCTATTAAATTAACTGAACAGTGGCTCTACTATCTGTGATGTATTCAGTTCTGAACAGGAAAACAGTCTTGATAAGAGTTCATTTATCAGTCTGATAACCATAATCATCATCTGTCCAAGAGACTAAGTTGATCAATTATTTTCTGTAAGACGGAAAAAAAAGTTAACAAGACGAATAGTAACAATTACATAATAATAAGGGTTAATAATTGACAAACCATTTGATGAATTCGACTCTTATATTCACGCAGTTTTTCAGGTTGATATATTTTTCTTAAACGATTCAATGTACGATCTATCCAATTCAATTGATATTGTAAATTATAGCATTGTTTATATAGTGATGATATTTGGATATTATCACTATCTAATGATATACTGGATCTATATACACAAAAATAAATAAAAAAGGAAGATAAACATACTTAACAGAGTCATAAAGAAGATGAACAGGAGATTACGATATTGTACCAGTAGTAGTAGTGGTGGTTAAATCCCGAACTTGCTTAATATAACAAAGGGAGAACCCAGTCCCATCAGAAAGACTAGAATAAACGTTGTATTCAGGTTGGATTGCATACAGATATTAATTCAACTTGAAAGGAGAGTGAGAGAAGTCATACCACGAACTACTCCACATTACCCGGAGAATTGATTGAAAACAACCTGAGAGTATTGACTAGTTGTTATGTCATGAGCTTGCGACTTATCGTACAATTTATCTTAATTAAGACAAAATGACAATATGTACTCAAAATGTGCATGTTTTAATGGAGACTGATCAATAGTAGTCCCAAATATTACGAATTTGAAAAAACAAACACTGACGACTACATTATTATTATAGATGAAACGCAGAATAAAGTATGGGTTCATATACCGCTTTTTGAATATACTTTCATTAGTGAATGTTTATTAGTAATCTCCAATAGTTTCAACCTAAATCTACGTGTATCTATGTTGAAAATCGGAACCTCCTGGTTCAAAATTAAATGCTTTATTCATTTGAAGAATAGATTTTTACTTAACTTTTTTTAAATGTACGATTTATACGAAGTTCAGTCAGATTACAATGCAAATGGAGCAAGTATAGCTCTTTACACGCTCCTCCAAAGGTAAGATTTCCAGTTTAAAAAACATACTACACGTAGTTAAATTAAGAAGCACTGGACAGCTATTTCGTCCCACTACGGGACTCCTCGGCAGTGCACAGTCACGACCCAACCAGCGATCGAACCTAGTACTCTCAGGTATCATTTTATTTTATTTGGACACATGAATATTGGTACAAGAGAGCGCCAATATATATGCGCCACACACAACAATGAAAATTCGAGAGGAATACAAAGAAAGAAAAAAAAGCTAAGGAGCGCAACAACAAAAAAAAGAGAGAACAATAACGAAGAGATTGGTGTAAGGTAATGTGCTAGTAATCAGGGAACGCAAAGGTACAATCGGAAGAAATCTTTCAGGTAAGGGGGACAGAACCACTTTTTATGAAGAAAGTAAAAGAAGGTTACAGCAGGATCGCCACTGGCTTCTATTCTGAGCCATATCTGATAACGTCTCTAGCCACTGTGTAGCACCATCTCTCAGACCCCAACCAGGGAGTTGTGAAGGACCAACACAAGCCAGTCCTTTGCAGCTTTCTTTCATGCCACGACACCATGTCATACACTGACCACCTCTCCGCTTCTTCCAACCAGTCCCAGAGTCGGCAAATAATGCACGACGTGGAATCCTCTGGGACGACATTCGGAGAACATGTCCAAGCCACCGAAGTCGGTGTTTCAAGATGATGACACCAATTGAATTATCATCTCTGTGCCCAAACACACGATGCCGAACCTCTGCATTACTGACATGGTGTTGCCACTGAATGTCAGCAATCCTTCGGAGACAGCGATGATCGAACACAGAGAGTCGTCTAACGTCCTCAACTCGGAGAGGTCAGGTTTCACAAGCATAGAGCAAAACTGCTCTCACCGACGCGTTGTAGATCCAACCTTTTACGGCCAGACTAACATCACGAAGGCGCCATAGATGGCCCAGATTGGCATAAGCCGCTCTGGCTTTCACTATACGTGCATTGATCTCATCACTCACACCCCCACCAGCACTTATGCAGCTACCCAGATACACGAACTTCGCGACTACGTCTATCTGCTCACCGTCCAGGGTGAGTACAGGATTGGAATCCTGCCAGTCTTGTAGAAGTACTTTGCACTTCGAAGGTGCAAAGCACACACCATACCTACGGACACTGATTGCCAACTGATTAAGTGCGGATTGCATGCCTTGGGCATTATCGCACAGTAAGACAATATCGTCCGCATACTCAAGGTCGAGAAGTCTTTCTCCAGGCAACAGATCCACACCACCATTACTTACATCCATCAGAGCTGTTTCCAGAATGTCATCGATGGTAAAGTTGAAGAGGAATGGTGAGATTGGGCAACCCTGCCTAACCCCACTACTCGAATGGAACAATGGAGAAAGGTGGTTGTATGCCCTCACTCTGCCTGAGGTGTTTTTATATAGGGCTTTTAGGATGTTAATAAACTTCTCAGGCACACCCTTCTTCAATAGACAATCCCAGAGAACAGTTCTGTCCAACGAATCGAAGGCAGCCCTGATGTCAAGAAACACTACGATTGTTGGCCTTTGATAAGTATGGCGGTGTTCTAACATTTGGCGGAGGGTGAAGATATGATCAATACATCCTCGACCAGAATGAAACCCAGCCTGCTCCTCGCGAGTCAATCTTTCTCGGGTTTTGAACAACCTACGAAGTATGACGGAAGCCAATAGCTTGGACGCAATCGGAAGTAGACTTATCCCCCGATAGTTGTTACAGGAACGACGTGAACCCTTTTTAAAGATAGGGACAACTATCGACTCATTCCATGACGTTGGCACACTCTTTAGTTCCCAAACCTTTGTAAACAACGTCGTCAATCAGGTATCAATGTGAGCACTTAACCATTAGACTAATAAACCAAAATCCAATCGTTTATATGTCCAACTTCGTCTAATCCGTCCAACCATCCTCCAATGTCATTAGTGAGTGACTACTTTATAAAGACGTGGTTGAATACAATTTATGATGAACTAATATATTTGATAAATTCAAATTACGGAACGAAAACGTACAATGAAGTTTTTAAAAATGTTTGAAAATGGCAAGAAACAGATGTAAATCAACAATTTTTATCAATCACGTAAAACAGCACTAAGATTATTACGTAACATAAGCATTTTATTTTTCAATACTACTACTATCACTATTAGTAATAATACGATCATATATATGGAACATTTTAGTGGATTTCTTGGCTTAATAGCTTATCGTCCACATAACTCATTTGGTTTTTGAACTGCAAGTTACAAAAGTTCGAGTCTCAGTGTGAACATTAACACTAGAATGTAGAAAGTACACCCAGCTGATGAGCACAAAATAAGATGAAATGTGAGTTCTGAATTTCATTTATTACACAATCTGTAAAAACCTACTTTTTTTTCTAGTTTGTTCATATGACTAACTCCAATACAAACATATTTACAAATACATCAGAAACAAGGTTCAGATAGAATGGTGGTTGGAGGTAGTCAACAGGAAACCCTGGATTCGGGTTTCGTACCACTTGGCACTCGTCAGCAAGGTGTACCTGTAATCTTGAGAGAACTGGTTCTCCCTGACGGATTCGATCCTGTATCACCCAGCTTCAAAGTCAGAGACGTTACCACTGGGCTATCCGGGCCGCGATTGACCTCATGTAGGACTGAGATGTATTCACAATTGATTGATCACTGGGTGGTGATCAATATCATGTATGTCAAGTCCTTCTTAGTGCAGATCGAATGCTATCGACCAAGGTTCATTCACTTCACCATAGAAATAATAAATGACTCGCATCAGATTTTTTTCTCCTTTTCTAAATAGTATACAATGTATATTCAGTTTTATTTCATAATATCTAATTCTATTTATTATCTTTATTTATCAATGAAGTAATTGAACTGTGAAAAAAACTTACATTTTTTTATTCTTATCAAATTGGTCTAATGTATTCATTAAACATTGTTGAATTGAAATGTAGTTCATTGTTTTATTTAATACAATACTTTCTAAATATTGTATTAAATCAATACTATTCGAATTTGTTTTCATTAAAGGATGTATAAATTGTTCCCATATACCATTTTGTCCAAAATATGCACCTAAATGAATACGTGCTTTAGTGAATGGACAATCTAATCGACCAACTATAGAAATACGTAAATGAGTAAATTTAATTGGTGGATAAATATCACGTAATATTAAAGCAGAATGACTTATATCAGTAGATACAGCTATTAATTTTGTAGAATTTATTGGTTTCTTGAATGATTTATCTATGAATATAGCTTCTAATGTAATACATTGTAAACAAGGATTCATTGGAATAATTAAATCAGTTAAATAATTTATTGATGATGAATAAGTACTAAATGTAACTGAACGATGTGCACCTGGATGCATACGAGATATTACTAAATGATAAGCTTCAATGGAATTAATGAGATGAGATAGAATAGATGTTAACTGATGATTTTCATTATTAGTTTCAACTTGTGATTCATTGAATTTTATTACATAAGAATTATTATCATTTATTGGTAATTGTTCACCAGTAACTGTAAAATGTAAAAGGAAAAAAATGTATTAAATTACAGAAAACTATTTAATAAATACACAAAAAGGAAATATGATTTAGACAGAAAATAGACGAATGGAGCTCATTTATCAAATAGGATGAGTGTAGTGGTTAAGGCATTCAAAAATGAGGGTTGAAGTTTCGAGTTCCATGTCGCCGATTTTGGTTTTGATGAGTTACACAATAATCATTACTTCTCCCACACACAAAATATGATTTAAAGTCAAGTACACGAATCTATATTTAGTAATTGTGTAAACTGCGCGATTATCGTAACCAAAAATTGGAGACATTGAATGTATAAGCTTAGAATACGTTGAAGACAAATTCACTCTCATATTTTTATATTTCGAAAATTCATTCTTCTTTCTCAATTTATATTGCTTATCCCTAACCTTTTCTAATACTATTGATATTGTTAATAGTTGTATTACTATCGCATTTGTCTTCATAATTTCATCCAACTGTAGTGATATAGTGTAGCAATTTGAACTGATGAACATAGATTTCAGGTGTTACGTTAATTATGACTAATGTGCTGTAACATAGTTATTATCACCAATTATCAGTTAAATATTAAAATATTTGACTTGGAAGTACACAGTATATGTAATGCTTGTTCAAACTGAATTAAATGAAGTTAGATTCTAACTTGTGACCTATTGATTGATATCCCTGTATCGTAGCCACCAGATTATTCGTCTCACTAATCTGAATATATATATACTCAACAGTATAAAAGCATTAAAATTCTTACGTAAAATAAATAAGCGGAGTTTATAGTTGAATATTAACGAGAAACAAATAGTAAAAATAATTACTTCTCAATTAGGGTCATTATACCTACATAACGGTAATTCTATTAATTTATTTTTTACATAATTCAGCAACTAAACATTTACATGTTTGTATACTCAATTCTGAGAAATATTTAATGACTAAAGGTTAGTGATTTTATCCAATCACCCAAAGTGATGTAGGTGATATGAGTTTCGAACCACTAACCTAATGACATTCAAATTGAACCCATAAATTTTAATTACAAACGAGATATTCCCTATGCCCAGTATACTGTTCAACCAAAAAATTTATAGAGATTAAAATTAGAAACTGAAAGATGTACATCCATTTTGATTACAATGAGTGAAGTTGTTAATTTAGGTAGCAGTTTACATTTTCCAAGAGTTTCATCGACTGTAATGAATTGAGAAGTGACATTTATATTCCATCTTTTTACTCTATTGTCCTAGTTTGAATATGGTTGTAATTTTCTCATTACTTGGGCGTTGTGGTCTAGTTAGTCGGAACCTTATTTACGCGCCTTTTCCAGTTAATGTGAATTAGGAATAAATTGGACAGCTGAATTGTTTTCGCTCTACTTGCCAACCATTCAGGTCATAGGCCATTGGCATGATAGTAGAAGTATGTGAACGACCTTGAACTACATTTTATTCAGTGAGAAAACAATGTTTAGTTACGAAACGATTTATGGTGAAAACAGATATTAACAAATGTAACATAAACAATATTTAAATATAGAATTATTAAGGTTTTCATCACGAACTGACATTAGCAACAATGCATGATTAAATTTCGTGCAGAAACTTGACTGGTTTGTTCATATATGTTGCACGTGCCGGATAATTGTCTTCCCTTTGCCCTCAAAGCCAATGAGTTACAATCGAACACATGAGTAGTAATACCAGAGATTGTACTAGCCATAAACTACATCGAAACAAATTTCTTTATATAAAGTACAAATTAATGGGCCGGAGAATCAAAGACGTAACGATTATAATTATATTAACTCATTACATGGCACAAATTCATTTACTTAATATTGAGTTACACTTCAAATACGAGGGCTCAATTAGACAACCCGAAATCTAAACAAGTTTGTTGGACGAAATGTTGAAATCATTCAAATTTCAATCGTTGTGATTATTTAAAATAATAACAGCTTCTCTATATTCGGAGCTAAACTTTAATCAAACTATTCGTTTTACTATTGACAAACTATTCATATAGATTATACTACTCAAATTCAAGAAAATGCAAAGAAAACAACCCAAAAAAAAAGATCGAACATACAAAAATCCACACGTTCAATATCACAATCATCATTTAATTGAATTGATAATTTATCTAAAGGAAATTTTAATGGTTCCACATCTAATATACCATTGAATGGCCAATCTTGTAAATCTGATAATATAATATGATGTATATTATTTGAATTATCAATATTCATAATGAAATTACTTCGCATCAATGTGAAAATATCAGAGAAATTAATATATGATACATCAGATGAATAATTAGATGAGAGTAGATGTAATGAATCCTTATTATTATTATTATTATTATTATCATTAATGTTATCATTGTTTTGTAAATGATTTGATGTTTCTATTAATTTTGTATTTTGCGCTAAATCAATAGTATCATTGAATTTTGAATCAGATATAAATGTTATATAATTTTTCGGTGTAAATATACCATTAAAATTCATTACATCTTTATTAATAGAATAACAATTTTTAATATTTTCATAATTTAAATTCATATTATGATTAGAATTAGTATTAGTATTAGTATTATTACTAGTACTTGGAATTGTTGAATGAAATGATTTCTGATATTTATTATTGTTATTACTATTATTAGTTGATTGTAAGCATTCAGAACCTAAGAAAGTCCAATTACATATTGGTAGATTGAATAGCATAGGTGGACCAAGACATGTAGGTAAATGATATGAACTGTAATTAATAAATAAATAAAACACATAAATTTAGTATAAGAAATGAATATGTGCAATAGTTTTTAATATACATTCAACTTATTACACAGCATGCATCAATTCAGTCACATTTGACAGAGAAGATTTGGAAGATGTAAAAACCTTTACATATTTGGGCAACATCATTGATGAACAGGGTGGATCTGATGCGGATCGGTAAAGCAAGAGCAGCATATTTACAACTGAAGAACATCTAGAACTCTAAAACAACTGTCAACCAACACCAAGGTCAGGATTTTCAATACAAATGTCAAGACAGTTTTATTGTATGGAGCGGAAACTTAGAGAACTACGAAAGCCATCATCCAGAAGATACAGGGGTTTAATAACAGTTGTCTACGCAAAATACTTCGGATCCGTTGGCTGGACATTATTAACAACAACCAACTGTGGGAAAGAGCAAACCAGATCCCAGAGGAGGAACAAATCAGGAAGAAGCCCTGGGAGTGGATAGGACACACATTGAGGAAAGCATCCAACTGTGTCACAAGACAAGCCCTCACATGGAATCCTCAAGGCCAAAGGAAAAGAGAAACACCAAAGAACACATTACGCCGGGAAATGGAGATAGACATGAGAAAAATGAACAAGGATTGGATGGAATTAGAAAGGAAGGCCCAGGACACAGCGTGTTGGAGAATGCTGGTCGCCGGCCTATGCTCCGTTGGGAGTAACAGGTGTAAGTAAGTAAGTTCAACTTATTTATCAGGTACATACCTGTTAAAAATGATAGACAATGATTGTAATCAATGTCTATGAATTGAAAAAAAGGGAGCCTAGTTTGACCCAAAAGCTCAGTGGCTAAATATTGAACTCACTAAACCACTGATCCAATCCGCTAGATGAAATAACTTACAGTGGTATATATATATTATTGTTATGATGGATTTGAATTATCCTGTGGTTGAAAAACTTTACTGACTATGTTAATCACCTTAAGTTGGCATATGTGTATCTTGTGTGTGTGGCCTCGATATAAAATTGCCAATAATAACATAGCATATCCGCTAGACAAATGGATTACTATCTAGTTTCAATAGCTCCGTAGATAACGCGTTGGTGTTACTGGTATTAGAGTAGTAATGTGAAAATAAACAATGGGGGAGGGAGGTAAATCCAACTGAAAAGTCTCAAGTAGATTGGAACGCATTCCAACACTTAACTGCTAGCATTTATTCTATGTAATTAGGACGATATAGATAATGACGAACAGATTATACCGAGATAACAAGAATCGATAGTAAAAAATGAATGGTTCTGTAGTCCTGTTATTGAATATTTGTTTTTTCTTTGCCACAGTGGAATTCATATCTCTTTTAACAATAAAAAACAACTTTTCTATTAGTATTATAAGAGGTTAGTGACGATTGTATGGTTATTATTGGCTCTGCCCCCAAATGTTCTGGTATGACCGAGAGGGAGGTGTTCCCGCCCTCCTTCTCGAAATGCTCTCACACGGCCACGCGTATACAGCCTCTAACAGGGAGATACTACTCACTGCCTTCTCGTGGAGGGGGTGTTGTTTAAGAAAATGAGAGGACGAAAAGCGAATGTCCGGAGCTTTGAACGGATCCCAAACCAATGGCGTACATCGGCTCCTAAAGGAACAAATGGCGTATGAACCAATTTTTGGTCACCGGCTACCATGGGAATGCATCTCCTCATGATGCTCCATTGCCTTGTGGGTTAGACCTTCAGGTCAAAGGCTCGGGGTGTGGCCCCAAAAAAAACCACCTGCTTCGGTCTGAGCACCCGGGCAGTATCACAGCCCTCACACAAAATGTGGCGCATATATATTTGGTGCCCTCTTGTACCAATATTTATGTGTTCAAACAAATAAATAAAATTGGTTCTTAATAATTATCTAGTTGAAGCCAGTGTGCAATGTAAATCACAATGAAACAGTTTAAATTTCATAATTTAATTATCTCGCTTGCTTGCAAATAATATCATCCATCAAAACTTTGTTCATCCTGTAATTAATCTGGAACACTGAAGATAATTTTAAGTGCACCACATGAAACTTCCCACATAACAGAGTCTTAAAAATGTGTTACACAAAGTTTACACGAATAATGATCAACATTGTCTGTGATTATTTGAAATTCAAAAACAAAGACAGGTGAACAATTCTTAAGGGTCATCCGTCACCCTCACAGTCATTAAACAAGAATGAAAACTACTATTTATTTGTACGAATATTCTTCAACATTTAAACGAATAGTTTGACAGAAATTGGTTTTCATGATGGTCCTGAAGAAATCCAGACACGTTGTTTTGGATAAAACGTTAGAATTGAATAATTTCAACTACTGAGATTATCTCAAACATAACTTTCATATACAATGTTTACAATCCCCTGAAGAAAAAAAAGCGATTGAATAGAAATACTAAGAATAATATCAAAATAAATACTTACGGATGTAGACGATTGAAATCCTCATGAAACAATGAAACTGTATTGAGTAAAGTCATTAAATTATTTTGTAATAACAATTTTGCCTTTAAATCATTTAAATTATTACGATATTCATCAAAAGAATAAGAAATGATGAAATCCAATAAACTGAATAATGTTTCACATCCAGCTGATGTTTGACAAATTAATAACCAACGAATGAATTTACTATTACTACTATTATTATTATCAGTAGCAGTTTTACTATCGGTAGACAGACAATTGCGTAATACATGGAAAACCATTGGCTTCTTATATGATGAATTATTTGAAGAGCAATATTTTAGGAAGACAAATTCTAATCTATGAAAAAACAAAATTATAGAAATAAAAATCGGCATAGTACAAACTACACGTATCCAAAGTTTGTCCAATAAATACTCAAACACAGTACCTTAACAACACGACCAACCGATCAATATGGAAACACTCATCTAATGGTTATTTTTTTGTTAAACACTTTCCAGATTATTCGTCTAAAATACATGCGAAAGTAAGCAGGTTGAAACCTCTAGTAACGGATAGTGTATCAATGACTTGAAGTGAATATACTGACTGACATTATATCATGTAATCTGTGAACCCTACTTAAAAAAGTCGAATTCTTGGTAATTTGACTTAACGACATCTCATTTATTACTAGGCATAGACTTAGGCATTTAGTTTTGACCCAAACTCCAATTGTGAGAGCTAGTAATACTATGTGGTTACCCAAATACAAGTACGTGGGGTAGGTTTCGAGCCAGCAAGTGGAAGTTAAACTCCTTAACCAACGGTAATAGCATGCTCGATGCGAGAATAAGAAATACTGAACGATGATCAACTATGTCCATCAGTCATGACTGATAAAAAGATATATTCAAACTGGGTTATTTTTTAAAACTACAATTAAGTAATACTGCTTATAAAAAATATCGGAAATACATTTGAAAGCTTTAGTGTTTGAGAAATGAGGGAATGTATAAAGTACTAGTAGACTGTAGTATATTATTTGAATGCTTTACAAAGACTAACACCATAAAGATCATGTGATTAAACAAACAGAATAAATGTAGATTGACTGGTCACTAAGCTGTAACTAATGTCACGTTTATTTAACTCTTAGTGTTGATTGTGTTATGTCGACCAATTTACAATGTGATCATTAGCTTTGAAAACATGTGGACCATATTTTAGTGTTAGATAGTTGAAACCAATCGGTCATGAATCTAAACTTCGGTGTTAGTAATTGTCATCAAATCATATTCATAATCTAGGAGAGAATTAATGCTCAAACAACTTTCCTCTCAATGTAATTAAACTTGACTCACAGTCACAGATACCACCACTGAGATGTATTTAAACAAACAGATTTATAACTCACTAATTTAATTAATATTTTTGAGATAGAAATTATATGAATAGCACAATTTACCACAACAGTATACGAATATTAGGAAACTAATGAAAATAATCAAGAATTTACTTGAGTAAACTAAACAATAATTTTGTTCCAAGTTGAACACATTCACGATCACCGTGTACAATTACATTTTCAATTAACATCTCATAATTATTTGCAGCCAAATTTAATAAATTCGCTACGATATCGCTAAATAAGGTTAAAATTGACAAATGAAAATAATATTAATTATACAGTATAAACTGTAAGTTGAATATTAACCTAACCAAATCAGTGAATAACAAGTTGGTGAAGATAGTTGCAAGTTATATTTATTTATTAAAGACAATAAATCGGTCAGTCAGTGATAAACAATAAACAACCTAACATATATACGCAGCATTGAAGGTTACCATACCATGGTGGTCTAGCTTCAATTGGCTCATGATTTCAACTTGTGAAACAATAAAATTTAATTATTAAGATAAATACCAAAGTCAGTATGGAGTTGTGAAAATTGTTCAATTTCATTGAAATTATGAACAGATCAAAATTAAACTAACATTGAAAACCTGGACGTAAGGAAGGGTCATTTTGTTCTAGTATGGGGCTTTTCAACAATGATGATCCACGATAGCGCACGTTAAACTCGAACCCAAAACTTTCGGTCTAGCGTGCGAACACTTCCTCTAGGTTAGATAATGATTCCAATGAAATTCAACAACTGCCACAATCCCACACTAACAATTATCATATGTTCACTGGCGACTACATTCTAGAGGAAACCTCCCAAGATGTTTTTCACAGAAATCATAACCAGTGGAGCTAAACCATGTCCACTGTAAAACAGTTAGCCACCAAACATATGTGGATTAACTTGATATTGCCATTAAATTACAAGCATTTTAAGCGAATTTGAATGGTGGAATAAATATCAAATACATCCAGTTGACCAGTCTCAAATGGGACAAGACGGGTGTTCTGGAATCCACTGGTAGCTATTATCTAACTTTACTGAGAATACCATCATCATAAATAATATTATTATTAGGAAAGTGGAAACTTACCATGATAATTCTAACTCATGAAGATACATCAACACAACCCAATTCAAAATATCTAGAATAATTGACGAAAAATTGCTATTATGATGGTAGGAGTTTTGAGTAAGGAAGTCTCTCCATTTATTATGATTATTATTACTATTATGTTTACAAGTACCATCAGTTGAGCTAAGAAAATTAAAACAATCTTCATGAAGTTTCATAGAGCGTAGAATAGCTAAAAGCTGAGCCCTTTCATGTAAAATTGTATGCATTTTACACGACTTTAAGGATGTATGTTCATTACCATAATTATCAATATCATTCACAATTGTAAGCTGATCAGTTGATAACGATGATGACGATGGTGTTTCATTAACAAAATCATTGGGGGGAGCAGGATGGTCATAACAATAACAGGTGGTGTTAAACTGATGAACACTTAGACCAATTTGTGCAAATATATCAGATAGTAATAAAGGTGGTTGTTGAATTTGAACTGTAGTAGCCGATTGACAATCAAGATTTGAAGAAGTCTAAAAAAATGGAAACAAGATAGGATAACATGATTGCTATGTTTGAAGAGATTATGAGTTCCCGTGATATGAGAACGGAACGTAGACTCAGTGACACAATGACCAAATAATCGAACTATTCCGATGCATCCTAGCCCCGTTAATCAGCGAGAGAAGTCCAGGTTAAGAAGAGGTAAAAGTATTCCACAAGCAGCCAGAAGCACGAACAACAACCACTAGTATAATTCAAGCGTATATATATACAGTATAAAAATGTCGTTGGGAAGCGTTACAAAATAGCATATTAAAAGAGACAACGAATCAATGACATTTAAGGTCTTCCCAAGTGGTAAATAGGACATGAAGATGAAAATGGGCGCTTTTGGCGCGAAAACAAGAAATTCAAATTTCCAAAATAAAATTGCAAAAATAAGACATTTACCAAGTGAGTTCTGAGGAGCTAACAACCCCAACAATAATATTCTTTTCCTACTTGTATAAATAGATAAATAAACGCGTTATATAATGATAAACCTAAACACAAGATCTCATGTTGACTACATTCAACGAATCAACACACATATTAACAGAATACAAGTGATGTTCAGGCACAATGACTAGTGACCATATTACAACATGATTGAAAAGATCCGATCAACGCTTAGAAGGACTATATAAATTTAACATTAGCAGGTGAATATGTGGTTTACATCATTTTCTCTCTTTTTAAAAACATCCAGCTAAATAGTGAACGTTTCCATTCATACAGGTAAGTGGCAAATAATTCTTGTTTTATGATAGTAACCTTGAGAAAACTGCTGTTTCAGCGACTGATACTCAATATGTGATAATAATTGATACATTTTTGCCAGGCCCTCTGTTGGTGCACTAGATAATGCCAATATCGTATACATTACGTGATACGCAGATAAACAATTACCGACCAAATACAGAGAACCAGACTAAAGAAACAATAAAAAACTTAAAGTATAAGCAATCAACCAAGGAAAATTATATTGTACCAACAGCCCTGAGCGACCAATAGAAATTAAGCTAGCCGATGGGTAAATCCGAAACGCTGTTGCAGATAGGTTGTTGCTAAAACCCATGATTTCCAAAATATTTTGTACTTCGGAAAGATTGAATGATGATTTTCTTGTGGAATGAACTGTTAAGGTCAATATGTTTAGTTTAGGTGTTATTGTAAGCAGTATTAAGGTTCGAAGTCAGGGTTTGGGAGTTTTAGGCTAAGGAACAGGCGTTTAAGAGTACTAAGGTTGGGAATTATGTTTAAGAAATTAGGACCTAGCGTTTAGAGGTTTTAATGTTAGAAGTCAAGTGTTTTGGGGTTGGGAGTTAGGTTTTAAAATATGTTGGACTAGGATCCATCTTGATTACAGAACAATAACTTAAAGCTTAAATTATTGATATTCAGTAATAAAAGGTTTAATAATGATGTAAAAGCTTCAAATCCTATGTAATTTTTATCATTTTCCTATATTTCAGGGCTCTTATACGAAAGGTCTATATCCTGATTGTCTAATTGCGGTTGGTCAATCTCAAGGTCATCCCTGAAACCATTCAAGGCTGTCGATGTGATATAATTTTACCACTGACCACAATTGAATCTGAGTAAAGCTTAGAGTTACAATATAAAAAATAATCGATTATGTGACTAACTACAGGAATATATCTGTCTTGGCTCACTAGTAACTAATTCCCGGCCTGAATCACAGGTTTACAACCTCACACTCTGAGAAATGGGACTGTAATCAAAGTACTCCATAAAAATACAATTTAACAAAGGGGAAAAGCACTAACTTCATTTTTGGCATCAATTATTTTGATATGCACAGAAAATAAACGTGAACGTGATTTAATTAATTCTGAACTGGTCATTGGAATATTACTACAACGATCATTCATACTAAGAAAATCACTTAATAAATATGGACCAGCAATTATATTTGCATCTAATTCACGAAGACGTTCTGATGAGATGATGCTTTCAGTAGGCATATGATATACACGTCCAGGAACTGAAAAGTACAAACAAAGCATATATATATATATATATATATATATATATATATATATATATATATATATATATATATATATAAAACATCCAAATGGGAAAATTGAAACGAGTTGATTAAAAACAGAAGCATTATTGGTCAGAAGTGACAAGTGCACATTAAAAAAAAATAACACAAAAATTCTGTTTTGGTACATGGACTTTCTTTAGAAGGCTCTATTATGTATTAAAAACTATTTTAGTATGATTTTAAAACAACAAAATCTACTGTAATAATAGTCGAAACAACAACGTTATTGATGTGACAATCAGATACGGGACCGTAATGGTTTTTGATCACCTATTAGCATTACTTATCATGATCCCCAAAGCCCCTGATACGGCTGAAGGTGGGTGTTGTGACTTTATGTCCGGCTCTTTATCACGTGATTTATCCACCAATCAAAATACGACTTGTACAATCTTAGCACTGTGCCAAAACCAATGACCTTCGACCGGTATGGGCAGCCTAGCGTCCTTATTGGTCCTATGTCCGCCTAGCCCGTCCACTTGAGTCCAGAACACCAATGCCAGCTTCCACTATGCGAATCAAATCGAATCATTTATTTCAGACATATTGGGTTTATATATCAATCAAACAGATAGCAACGCACCATAAAATAGGAAATAACATTTGTACACAATAAAGCCAAAAAGTGACTGTGAACGTGGGTGGCACTAGTCAATAAACTGAACATAACTTAAGAACAGTAAGCCGCACAATAATAAATTATAGGTCAAAATAAAGCTTATAATAAGAGGAATATAAATATACATAATCTAATTATTGAATAGTTATACCATAAGAACGTATAGATAATGTTAGTCAATTAATATGTCTCAGAAGTTGCTCGTAATTTAATCTTCGCTCGGATATGACAGTGGGGACAGTTCGCTCTCCTTCTTCGAAGGGCTCTCCTACGGCCATGCGCATATAGCTACTGCCAGAAAGATTCTGCTCACTGCATTATTACAGAGAGGATGTTGTTCACAAAATTGATATAACTAAAAGCGAATGCCCGTCACTTAAACCTGATTCGTGAGTACGAGAGTTGGAAAAGTCTCATTCCAAATCAATAGTGCTCATTAGCTCCAGGATCCTGAGGGAACAAATGGGATATGAACCCATTCTTGGTCGCTGACTATCATGAGACCTTATCTCTTAACGTTGTTCCAGTACTTTAAGGATTGAATTTCTAAGTCAAAGGCTCAGGGAGTAGCCCCACCACAAAAATCATCTGCTTTGGTTTGGACATTTGAACAGCATCCCAGACTATACAAAAATTATTGAATTTTTGTGGCGCATATATATTTTGGTGCCCCTTTGCACCAATGTTCGGGTTTAAACAAATAGATCATTTCAGCAATGATACTTTGGTTATATATATATATATATATATATATATATATATATATATATATATATATATATATATATAGGTGATTGAAAGCAATGCACAGAAAGTTCTTGATTTTAGATACACCAGGCTGATAATAAAAATAAGATGAGTACCACCTAGTACGACATCTAGATTAACGGATTCACGTCGACTGCCTCCAAAACATCTTACATCATTTTTCGTTGCGATGTCAAGACACTGTCTATTGTTTATATTTCAGGCATGATTGATAAAATGCAACCAGTACTAAACAAACATAAAACTGATAACTATGAATAATACTAATTCTACTACTAGACGGTAGATATACATGAATCTAAACTATGTGCTTAATATAAGTGAAATTCATCAGTAACGAAAAAGCTGTGAGTTCACAGATTATAATACAAAAAAATCTAAGTACCTAACTCAGGTTGATTTTATTTGGTTTCAGTCTTGTTTAGGACTAATAAAAAACTGTAAACGTATTATTGGTAGTAAGTAATCAAACAGAGACGACTCTAGAAAAGAGAATAGATTCCCGGAATAAAATGCATAAATATATATAACGAAAGCAACATATGGTTTTCATTGAAAAAGAATTAAGGACAATTTAGCGAAGAAAATTTTCTTCTCGATTATATCAATTACTTATGCTGCACAATCGTATTCATAGTTAATTAACACTTAAAATAATTATCGGTATGGGAATTTGTGGAAATTGTAGTATTTTCACAGTTGAATTCACGAGTCAATCCGGAATCTAACGGTGTTAATGTTTAACTTCAATTGATCCATGATCTTGCGCTTCCCTTCATCCACTAACTAAGGCGGATAACTGTCTCACACCCAACACGGACTCAACTCATTAGAACTCCAGGAAATCCATCTTCAAGTTAGTCACTAGTGAACACATGATTATCATCAGTATGAGGATTTGTGGAAATTGTGGTATTCTCACAGTTGAATTCACGAATCGATTTAAGCTAAACCACTAGTGAAAACCTATAACTCACTGAAAAGCTATCTAACGGAATCCTTAAGTAAATCTTTTTATGCTGCTAATTTTCGCATCGTCTTTATCAGCCTTACTATCATTAATGGATATGCCAAAATATACTACTGTGTCGAGCCACATTATAATGTATTTACAAGTTTACTTGCTCTTGTGGAGCAGGTTACACTTATTACACAAAGTGAGCTCTTCCCAAATGCATCTCCGAGTATAATCCTGTGCGGCCCTCAAAAGGCGAATGTAAAATAATCAATAGCCCAATATTAAAACACCTTGTGAATTCTGATCACACGACACCAATAATAATAATAATAATAATAATAATAATAATAATAATAATAATAATAATAATAATAAACACTTCGAAATCATCAATATAATCAGATGATTTAGTTTGAGAAGAGCACAAATTAATAATTTATGCATTGCAGAAGCGCTAGCAATCCTACTTTTTATGCTTAAGCTCTGATTGTAAAAGAGATACATGCAAGTCATCATTCTTCGGTGGCCCTAACACCTTAAGTTTCAAAAATGGTAACTTGATCTTATGTTTTAGTTTTCCTAATTCTAATTATTCGTTATCACTTGCAAGTTTTTGATCTATTATCCACCCTTCTCACATTTGATTTCATCTTATTACCTCTAATCAATTCTCGACTATTAAGCAATTTTCTTTGACATACGATATGATATAATCGTCATCCTATTTTTAGTAAATTTCATTTGTTAAGGATATATCCCGACGAGAATAATGAATGCTAGTTGTTGGGATCTCTTTATGGACTAATATTATACATATATCTTTATTGTGTAATTGTTGAGTAACTAAACTATGTATAATCATGTTACTCTTATTATAAGCCTTATTTTGACCTATGAACTATTATTATACGATTCTCCATACTTGAGATATTCCCAGATTTTTAATTACAGTCTTCCACAATCACAGCCACTTATGGCTAGATCTTGTGCAAGTGTTATTTTCTAATTTATGGTATGATGTAGTCTGTTTGGTTTGTATATAAACCAAGTATGTCTGAAATATACGATTTGTGTTGCGGAAGCCGACATTGGCGTTCTGGACTTAACAGGCAGAACTAGATAGGAAGAAGGACCGATAAGGACTCTAGACTGCTCGTACGGGTTTATGCGTCATTGGTCCGGTCGATAAGCCAATGTTCTCTGATTGTCGGTATCATTATGTTATATCTTAATAGGCCACAAGCTATAACAGTTAACTAAAAACACAATTATATATATATATATATATATATATATATATATATATATATATATATATATATATATATATATATATATATATATATGATTTAAGATGACAAGGGATAAACATTGCCAATGTTTTTTTAACATTATCATACTAACGAAATTTTAACATTTAACCTACTTTTCAATTAGTTGTTTATACAAACCAAATGATTAACTGAAAGTAGAAACTCCCTTTTAACTTAATGCTAAACCTGATTAATACAATGCTTACAAAGAAGAAAACAATTGTACTAAAAGTATTGAATCAGCCTATATTACCAAAAATAACATACTTTTTAAATAATTTGATAGTAATGCATTATTGAAGTCGATATTGTCATCCGAAGTTTGTGATTTGTATTCTGCCGAATGTGTACAGTCGTATTCATCATCGATAAATGGAGCGTTTAAATCGTGTACCACCAAACTATGATCAAGAACTGACGATACATGATGAAATTCATTACAATCGGCATTTATTGAGGTTTTTGAAGGATTATGAATAAAACTGACAGGATTGTTAGATGGGATATTTTTTCTTAGAAGAGTTATATATACATCGGATTGATTTTGCACTTTCTAAAGTATAAAAAGTGGGTTTCAAAATAATGATAATACTGGTAAACGAGTTTTATGGAGAAAGAGTTTATTGATTGATGAGATCGATTGATGAAATCAGTGAATAGAATGCTAATCGATGAATGGACTAGGTGATATGATGCAGTCGATTGACGGACACTCACTAGACCATATCGACTCAAGCCTCTGAATGATTTAGCATCAAAGACACGACTATTAGTCAGATGAATAGGTTTTTTATGTAATAAAATAATGTGCTTATAAGCTGAACATGAATACAAAATAATGATAAAATGTCGTAGGCATTTGGAGGAAATTAGCTGTTGGTGATTCATTATCTAGTTAACTAGCACCTGATTGTTATGGTCTAATCGTTGAACATCGTATCTACGAGATATGTAATTAGTATGTTCAACTACATCACTTTATATTCAGCTTGAAGAGGAAGCATATATGCAACTCATTGTCCTAAAGCCACACAGAAGACAGAGACACACTCGTTCAATGTGTCTAACAAACATTTTTTATGCGTACTGTAGTGAATTTACGAATCTATAGGTAAGTCAGTCAATAAAACTAGAAGAAAAAAAGCAATCTTTCAAAGAACGTTCACAGTGAAATAGAATAAAAAGTATGGAACTGAGTAGCGCTAAAGAGCTTCGTCTCAGATGTCTGTTTCCCGTTACCTTTATACTTTAACTCATTCACTGAGTACTTGGATATAAGTCAGACTTTATATTTGAGAGATAATGATACCACCCGGTTGTTCGAACCAAGGATTAAATAACAGAAAAAGAAATTATTAGGAAGAATCAGCTGGAATCGATTTCGACAGAGCAACCTGTTAATCGCGTATGGAGTATTCCTAATATTCTGAAGCGTCATGGAGTTTGAGCGGTAAAAATGTACCACAGAGGTGACCCATAGTGACACTTGAATGACCCTGAGAAAACAAAGCTCATTTCCAGCCAAACAGGATGCAATCGATACGAATGTTTAATTTATTATTTTAAAAAAACACGGAACATTGGAATGCACACTTTTTTACATTGCCAACGTATTTACCCAGGGGTTAGGTGGGTTCTTCAATGCTTGAGTCATACAATATCCGATACAAAAGCTCATCTATATGACATCAGTTCATCTTAACTCCGAAAACTTTGTCAAGTCAAAATTCACTACAAGCTATCAGTATACCACACCGTTACCTTTGCCACTCTTAAATACGGTAAAAACCGTTAAATCAAATACTCAGCATTATGTTCTGCTGTCGAATTTCTAAGATTTACCAAATCCCTTATGAGGATGGAAAGACTACAGAGAATAAAAATGTTTAAATACTAGACTGGGTTATAATATATAAAAATCATATTTCTATGACGATAACATGTACACTGAGAATTTGAATGGATACATAATCGGCTTTCTCCAATAACAAACTACATTTATTATTTCCCATCAATCGTTTAACTATGAATTGGTATATGAGCACATAAGATGTTACTTATGTTCGTGCCCACAAATGCCCTGATACGACCGAGAGTGGGGAGAGTCCGCTCTCCCTCTCCAAATGCTCTCACACGGCCACGCGTATGTATCCTCTGCCAGGGAAGTCCTACTCATTACCTTCTCGTGGCGAGGGTGTTGTTTATGAAATTGAGAGGACGAAAAGCGAATGTCTGGCGCTTGAACCGAGTTGATGGATACGGAGAGTCCACCTAGGGGAGTTGGAAAACCCGGATTCCAAACCAATGGTTTACATGGGCTCCAAGATCCTAAGGAAACAAATGGCGTATAAACCAATCGTTGGTCATCGGCTACTATGGGACCACATCTCCTCACGATGCTCTATCGCCTTGTGGATCAGACCTTTAGGTCGAAGGCTCCGGGTGTAGCCCCCTAAAGAAACCATCTGCTTCGGTCTGGGAACCCGGGCAGTATCCCAGCCCTCACACAAATCATATGTATCTGGTGACTTCTTGTACCAATATCTATGCGTTCAAAATTATTTATTTATTTTAACACATAGATATTGGTACAAAGAAGCACCAAATACATATGCGCCACATAGATCTCGTTTGATATGTGTGAGGGCTGTGATACTGTCCGGGTGCCCAGACCGAAGCAAGTGATTTTCTTAGGTGGCCACTCCCCAAGCCTTCGACCTGAAGGTCTAACCCACAAGGCAGTGGAGCATCGTAAGGAGATGCAGTCCCATGGTAGCCGGTGACCAACGATTGGTTCATACGCCCTTTGTTCCCTCAGGGTACTGGAGCCCATGTGCACCATTGATTTGGGATCCGGTTAAAGCGTCGGACATTCGCTTTTCGTCCTCTCATTTTCGTAAACAACATCCCCTCCACGAGAAGGCAGTGAGTAGGACTTCTCTAGCAGAGGCTGTATACGCGTGGCCGTGTGAGAGCATTTCGAAAGGGAGGGCGCGCCCACCCCACTCTCAGCCGTACCAGGGCATTCGGGGGCATGTGTTCAAATAAATAAATAAAACATGCGTTCGGATAGTTTATCTGTTCATAACTTATCAAGTAGTTGGTTACCACATGCATATTTACAAAAAAAACCCAACATTTGAAGAGATTCACACTTCAATATTGGGCCCAATAATAATCATTATCATAATCACTTACATCATACTGTTTTAATGTTGAATGAAATATAAAATGTGAAATTAAATATACTCGTGGTAAACTAATCTCTAATAGATATTCAGATAATATATTCTGAGAATTTAACATTACATAATCATTATGTATGATATTTTTATTAATTGAATTCATATTCAATTTATCAACATTTTGTTTCATTAAATTTTGATAATCATACCAATTTTTAGTATTAAATTCCCATAAATGAGTAGATATATTAGATGATAAACTAAGTTGAACAGCTAATGTAGCACATTTTAACATTACTGAAATATTATATAATATATCATTAGTTAATTTTGATTTCTTAAATGATTCTTTTTCTAATTGTATATAACGTGTAACTAATTTAGAAAGTATTCGAATTGTATTACTATTATTATTATTATTATTATTATTATTAATGAATGTTTCTTCATTAAAAGAATTATATGTAGTAGGTTTTATTGTAGAAGAAGATAATAATGGAAAAAGTTCCACTTCATACCAACCAATTTGATTTGGAAAATTCACTTGAATTAATGAATCTAATGGAATAGTTTTAATAAGTTGATATAAAATAAAACATTGGTCTAATGGACAATTATAATAGGCATATAGATTATTTAATGAATAACTATTATTACTATGACTACTATTATGATTATGAATAGGAAAGAATAATTCAATTTTCTCATCAGAAGATTCATCATAATGTTTATGAATTGGTAATATTGAATTATATAAATGAATACGTTTTTGTTTATTCATATCATATTTAAATAATTCATGATTATGTAATTGATAGATGTACATTTCACCATTTACAGTGCCTAAACATATATTTTCTAAACCAGTACAATATGTGAATGTATCAAATTGTATATTGCAATACATATTGTTGTTATTTATTTCATTATTATTGTTATCTTCATTAACTGATAAGATTGGATTAGATATTATTATTTGAGCATAACATAATAGATTTTTATAAACATTTATTTGTAACAATGAATTGTATACTGTTAATATGAAACAACAAAATGATAAGTCATATGTTCCTATGGTAATTAAAGGTGAGTCTATGGTAAACTTTAAATTATTATTATTATTAGTAGTAGTAGTAGTAGAAGTAGTATTGTTGACAGCTACACATGATTGTCCACATTCATAGTGTAATTTAACTGAAGGGTATAAAGTGTTTAAAGAACAAACATGTAGATCATTAGTGCTGGATACCACATCCATTTGAACAGGACAATAGTGATCAGGCAATTTAATGTGCAAAAGTGGAGTTTCATCAATAACTAAGTGATAACCAACTGAATTAGGTAGAATACAGTCATTTTCATTATATCTAAAAATTTTAAAAGAAAAACGATACAATTTCATTTATTTATTTAAACACATAAACATTGGTACAAGGAGGCACCAAATATATGTGCACCACACTTCGCCATCTGAATTATGTGAGGGCTGGAATACTGACCAGATGCCCAAACTGAAGCAGATGGGTTTCTCAGAGGGCAACTTCGGGAGCCTTTAACCTAAAGGTCTGATCTATAAGGCAATGGAGCAACGTCAGGAGATGCAGTCCCATGGTACCCAGAGACGAACAATAGGTTCATACGCCATTTGTTCCTTCATCATCCTGGAGCCCATGTGCATCATTGATTTGGAATCAGAGTTTTCCAATTCTCCTAGGTGGATCCTCCATATCCACCAACCCGGTTAAAGCGCCAGACATTTGCTTTTTGTCCTTTGGATTTCGTAAACAATACTCCCGCCGAGAGGAGGCAGTGAGCAGGACTTTCCTGGAAGTGGTTGTACGTATGTGGCTATGTGAGAGCACTTCGAAGGAGAGAGAGAGAGAGCGGATTATCCCCACACTCGGTCGAACCAGGGCATTTAGGGGCATAATTTTTTTACCGAATACCTAAATGACGAAACTGTATTATTAATCAGGATTAAAAATAATGAGTGTTAACTAGCATTTACAATATAATAGCTTTCTTTGTGGACATGATTTTAAATAACTGAGAAGCAATCGGGGATCTAAATGTAATCAGTCAGGCATAATCAACGTATAGCATGGGCATGAGTAAGCGTTTGTTCACGTACCCATATTACATTGGTACAAGGAGATAAGCTTAAAAACATTAACAGTGAAGAAATCGAATATGGGAGCATAGATAATAAGAGTTGGTCACCTATAACCTTCTTCCAACCTACTCGTACACCGGTTAAAATCACTTGTTGAGCGTTAAGGATGGTGGGTCAGGGAGTGTACATGACACACGTCCAAACTAGTACTTGAATTGTAATAACTTTCAGGGGTGTATGTCTTGCAAAAAAGATGACACGGAAATAGAATAAGTTTATTGTCCCAAATGCAGAGTACTGTAAATAAAACAAGACTTATTTATGCACTGTAGTTTATATGAAGTCTTTATAAATCAGTTTCACGTATTTATTAGATGGATTCGATAAAAATAAATGACAGAATAACTAAAACTTACCCGAATAAAAATAAATCACCATCCTCAATCGATTGATTATCAGTAGTTTTATGATGAAGCTCTACATGAGATAATGATCTTGACAAGCCACAACAAACAAGTATACCTTGAGAATAAGCAGAATTACCATTATTGAAGGATATTGTTTGCAATGGTAGTGGTGATATTTGTAAAATACGAAAATTAGGATTTTCAAGGTCATTATTAGTGCTATCAGCAGTAACTGACAAAGGTATGACACCAACAAGTTTCGGTAAGTTCTCAACACATCCACTCTTACCATTTTTATTTTCAGAATAGTCAGAGCATAGAAATGAATTGGTTGTTTCATTCATATTAGATCGTTTATTTTCAATGTGTTTTATTGATGACGACAAATTGGATGAACTTGAAGCAGATATTTTCTTTAGTTGTAATTTATTGCTTGAAGATGTGTGATAACAGTCCGTCGTAGCTTTTAAATTTACAAACTCTTCAATAACGCTAGACAAACCAATATACGTATAAAAATCATTCTCGATAAGCTATTGTAATCAAAGTAAGGAAAACAAACAATATTGAAAATATAAGATATACTAATCCTTTCATGAAATAACTACAAGGGTTATGTGATATGTTTACTAATTATGTATACGAAAAAAAGAGTAAAGATTTACAAGATATGTGAGGCCAACATTAACAACAAACCATAGAATGGCTAGATTAAGAATGCAGAATGGTAATTGAATAAAGATTAAAATACTTGACTTTTAACCACTAAGTTGCGTATGTTCAGTGAAATCTTAAAATCAGATTCCTATAAGATGGTTTCTCAAAGTGCTTAAATAATAAATCGATTACGATTTCGAAGGCCACTTTTTCTTAAATTTGATATTTAGGGTCATGTTTTTCAAAATAACTTCAAATCATCTCACCTTTCGTTATTTTTACACATATTTTTAAAGGATCTCTTGACTTATTTGAAATCCTAAGATAAGACGAGACGTATTTGAACATCATTAACCTAGATTATACAAACATTTGTTTCATACACATAGTTCCCTTTATCATCTTAAAGAGAGCAAGAACGAACATTGGTGCAGCCACTAAAGTCATTGAATCGCCTACTGACAATACTGCACTAATCTTCGTTCTTGCTCTTTTTAAAACATTTGTTTGTTTATCTTTTGTTACAATAGACTTTCTTCAAATGTATTTTGACAGTTTTAGTTTAGTTAAACTTCATTAAATAACTTTGAAAGACGCACTATTTTAACCAAATTCATAAGGTTGTCTGTTGTGTTCGCAATGTTTAATAAATGTGTTACATCCGGTACAGATTTTTGGGCGAGGACTGCATATTGGTGTGTTATGTTTACCAAACAATTTATTTCAAATGGATAGAGTTATCTCCGACTATCTGCTATGAACATGTCAGTGTAACGTACTCAAATAAGCTGGATGGAAAACAAAAAATACCATGCAAGTTAGAGTTTGAAACGGAATCTAGAATGATGAATAGCACAGTTTTACATGCATCGCTCATCAGTTAAATGAAAGAAAAATGGTCAGGAATGCTGGACATAAACATGCTCACTGAACACTGAAAGTGTTTCAGATAACAACCGAAATTTCGACCATAAATTTAAATGTTTTTCAGAAAACAATAAATACATTTTATTGAAAAGTTGACTACCTTTGAATTGACTGATGTTGAAATATTATCTTTGGGTGCTGAATCAGTTATGATATTATTTATATGTACGCTACTTAACTTGTCAGAACTCTCCTCATCAAAGTCATCTTCATAATCATCATTATCAGTTTCGTTCTCATTATCATCAATATCTCCTAATTCTTCATATTCTATTGTATCGTCATCATCATTATTATGATCATAACCAAGTGATGGAAGAAACTTGACAAGATCTATCGGTATTGAATGTATATTGAATTGATTAGGAAATATCGATTTGGGAGAAAATGGCGTTGTTGTTGTTGAAGAGAAAGTAGAATCAGCTATCCACATAACTTGTTCACTGTTCAATGGAGTTAATTCAATAATGATAAGGCATAGTTGATATTTTTTAAAATTGTTATTTTTAACATTCTCAAATTTATTAGTTGTTGACATGGTATGGATACAAGAGTGTAATTTATTATATACTGAATATGGTAAACAACAACCAAGAATTAAATGATGTATTTTAGGAAGTTGTGGAAGATTGATAAATTTCATGGTAGAAGAATTAGAAACTAGTAGACATCCACTATGTACTTGTAGTTGAGATTTAGTAATCACTAGTTTAGGTATAGAAAGAAGAAATTGTATTTACATGATATAAACAATGATATGATAATCAAATACAAAAAAAATACTGTTTATTTCTCCTATACATATTTTTTTATTCATAAACATCACTTTGCCCCCAAATGCCCTGGTCTGGCCGAGAGTGAGGTGGGCCCTCCCTCCCTCTCGAAATGCTCTCACACGGCCACGCGTATACAGCCTCTGTCAGGGAAGTCTTACTCACCGCCTTCTTGTGGCATTACTGTTTTTTTACGAAATTCAGAGGACGAAAAGCGAATATCTGGCGCTTTAACCGGATTCCAAACCAATGGTGTACATGGGCTCCAGTATCCTGTGGGAACAAATGGCGTATGAACCAATTGTTGGTGACCGGCTTCCATTGGACTGCATCTCCTCACAATGCTCCACTGCCTTGTGGGTTATACCTTTAGGTCAAAGGCTCGGGGTGTGGCCCCCTAAGAAAACCACCTGCTTCGGTCTGGGCACCCGGACAGTATCACAGCCCTCACACAAATCGAATGATTTATGTGGCGCATATCTATTTGGTGCTTCCTTGTACCAATATCTATATGTTAAAATAAATAAATAATAAAATAAATAAACATCACCTCATTTACGAAGATGAAAAAAATTTAAACCTAACAGTAAACTTTATAGGTACGTGAGTGACCTATAGAACTTATACCCTCTGGTTGCTTATTTGCTAAATAATATCCAGTGATGTTTACTTTGATAAACAATACTTTGTATTTAGGCATGTTATTTCCATGGAGAAAAAACTTAGTTTATATGTTAGTTGTACAGTATTTCGGCATTAGTTCACTCAGGATTTTAGTCAATAAGTGGATATTGTGAATATCTATCAATGGGACATATCGTATCAATGTACAACATCCACTGATCAATGAAATCTTTACAACAGATTTAAATTTGCAATTGATTGGTCACTACTCAACGGTTAAGTAATTAGTTAGAGATGGAAGGTATGCAGTAATAACTCGAACGACAACTGTGACATTATATATGACAGTTCGATTCCCTCCTAACACCCCAGCTACTCCAAATAACCAATCTTGTTAGGAACAATTATTGGACAAGACCAAAGAAGACTGAATTTACATCCAGGTTAATTCAGTTGTATATCAGTTGTGACTACTAATTACAGTTTTACGAACCCACAAAATACAAAACCATAGTAAAATAACCGCCAGGAAGAAAATTTACCAAGAATTAAATAGCAAAATACAACTGAAATACGCTGAAAGTTAATGAATAGAGTTCACGAAAATGTGTTGATTTGGGTGAGAAATTAAGTTAAGTTGGTATCCAAAAATAAGGTTGACATTCTTTCTCGCATGTTGTATTAAGGGGTACAGGTACCTTAAGAACTCCCTTAATCAATAGCCATTAGTTTTCAGGTCTACCTGGAGTTGTACCGCCTCCCTCCTGCATTGAACAGACCAGCTCCTGCCCATAAATCCAACCCTGGTGCTAAAACTGTTTCTCCAAGGGTTGACAGACGGGCGGTGCACTAAAATGGCTCTGTCAATGGCAGGTTACCTCCACAAGCATGTACAGCCTTCTGCATGGCAGCCCGAATAGCTTAACGGTATCTTTTTTTATTTATTTTGTCTTAACACATTATGATTTCTATCAATCACATAACCTATGAAAGCGCGTATATGAAAAGTTTACGATCTATCGCTTTATAGCGTATGACAAATACAGTCTGATACTAACGTGTGTTTAATATAGAAGGTAAGTTATAATAAACAGGACTAGTATGACCTAAAATATATTTTGTTTGGATATTCTCGTTGATGTTTGGGACTGGAGTGAGTGGTACTAAGTTTGACTCTCGGAGTGAACACAACTCTGGGATGCAGATACATTCAGCTGACAAGTCCCAACGAAACGGGCGTCCTGGATTTCACTGCTAGCCACCATCCATTTCTGCTTAATATTTTGTAACATTTAAAATCTCACACCATCACCTACTTTCGATTATCTGACTGTAATTATCATACACTTATGTTATAACTAAACATTATCGCTAGCTTTCAATATTCAACATAAATACATTTTACGTGCTGAGCCATCAGTTTACTTTTCTTTATTCTTACCTCTTCCAAGCCCTCCTGAACACAATACTCTTCACACTCCCTCGACAATTAACATACCATCAAACTAGACATGGACCTAACTTAGACTAAACGTTACAATATAACTGCATTGAACGCTTGTTTTTCTTACATTTTGCAAATATGAATGATTATTTTTAGTGGAAAAAAACGCAATACACCTAACTTACTTTCACTGGTGGTAGTAGTAGTAGTAGTAACTATCGAAGCATTCAATACATCCACAAGATTGAATTCTAATGAACGCTGGGGAATTTTCAGAACAGAGGCATTGAAAATTTATGACATAAGATAACAGTGATAATAAGAATATAGACATGATAATAGATTATCATAGAAATATAGATGACTGACGAAACATTTCATTTGATTTACCATTAAGTATTATTATTGGCAATGGTTTAATTTGAATAGTTTGATGAAATTCAGTAACCGATTGAACAAATTCGTGTACTTAATGGGTTTTTCAAGTTACACGTACATTGAATTTACTACTAAGTGGTGACCAGTGTGATATTTGTCCAATCTTAATAGTTGAGATTATGAGTCAATAATATCCACAAAACCACTTCTGATATTTGTCCAATCCTTTAGTGCTGATGTTGTTCTATAGACACTTAAGCGGCTAGACATAGAGTGCACTATGTTGTCTCAGATTGTGAAGTTTAGTGGCACGAGTGTGAAACCCACAGAGAGAATTACTTTCATTGAGACTCCAGATACGTCTCGCTAAAGAGCCATGACTAGCAAGAAACATAGGTTTCTTGAAGACTACCTTCAACCACTTAACATTTTAAGTCGCTTCTTTCGCATGTGAGTCAGTCATACTAAACGACTTCCTAAAACTGAAGTAGGAGGAGTAGAGTTCGAATCTATGCAACATAATAATTAAAAGTTGAATATTTCAACGAATAAACTACTGCTACGTTGTAAATAATAGAATCTAATACATGCGTTCGAAAGAACATCAAACCATCGCTTATAGAACACCCCAAATTGACAGTGACATTAATCCAGCCTCTATATGTTCACTTCATTTACTAATGAGTCCGACACAACCAAACTTTAATAAGAGGTGATTTTTTATTGTCCCATTTCGCGAACGCACTTGATGGTTTAGGAGATGAAATAGCTTACTCTGTTGAAGTACGACAGATCCCAAACAGTAATCCCACCATCGACTGTTGAAGTTGCGACAAAATCTTTTGATGTAGAAGCTGTAAGCACCATGATCTGAATTATTTAGAACGTAATAAAGAAAACATACAACTGACAAAAATAAAAATTTATTCGAAAAATTATCTTTATATAAACTTAAAAATAACTTCATCCCCACAAAGATGAACCAAAACCAAAACAAGAATCGCACATGAAAGTTACAAGCTGTAACCTTGTTGATGAGTACTAACTAGCACGAAGCCTCAGTTAACAGATTCAAACTGTCTTTAATTACTTCAAATAAAATAGTCATAACTACGATGTTGTTATATCATCACCATATTACAAACCGTTCAAAGTTATATTAGCGGCATATGTCATTTTGGACCATCTTTGGTGTTGCTCTGATGTTAGTTTAGCTGTAAAAGGTCTGTTGCACAACACATTCGTGAAAACAGTTCCACTATATGTTTGTGAAATCTGGCCAATCCATGGCAACAATGTGTGGCGACTTTGTGTTCAACCAAGAAAACCCTGCACTAGTAATACTGAGGTTTGGTGATGTGTATATATAGAGGCAGTGACAATAATTCAACCAGTCACCATTTTGAAAAGCTGACTTCGGTAGTGTAGTGATATTTTACAAACATCATCCTAAAAACTTTCGCACTGCGATTCGATTCCCAACGCTGACAGTGGGTGAAAAATGCAAAGGTAGTTAATTTAAGAAATCGCATCGCAGTGCAAAACGAAGCTCCATAGGACTGGTTTCTACTGGTTCATCAGGACTCGTTGGATAAGGCTCCATAGATAATGGAACTCAGTGACTTGAGACGTTATCAGATACGAATCAAAATAGAAGCCAATAGTGATCTTGTTGGAGTCTTCAATAATACATCAAAACAGTAATATCATTTTAGTGTTTTTAAATGAACTGTATCTCTTAGTAAATATTATTTCGACTCATTATTTTAGTGATTATGTCACTTTCCTATCCTTTATTTTTGCACAATTTTATCGTTCCATTTATGATATATGCATTTTCCTTGCACGACTGCACTAGAATTTATGCACATTAAAACAATAAGTAAGATACACAGTGATCTCCAGTCGTAAAACCGACAAATAATTCACAATTTACAGTTAACATCGATGGAATAACTATTTTTGAAAACAGTAATTATATTTTAAAATAATATACGATGCTATGAATGGAACACCTGAAAGTTTCTTACAACCGACTTACTAACTAATTTAAAAGTAAAGGTAAACAATCCTATAAATAAAAAGATTAAAGCTATAACTGCCTAATATGTAGATAAAATTATTTAGTCAACTGGTTGACAAATACTGTAGTGAACAAGAACACGAGTGAGGATAATCAAATGTATTTGAACACGAAATTATAGAGTATCTCAATAAAATCTGAGAACAATACAGTAAATACTTAATTTGCAAAACATCAATCGATTGTCTCAGATTTCATTGTTCCTGCATTTTCATACCAATTGCTTTCCGTTTCCGTTCTTTCCTTCTCGATCTTTTGCTGAAATACATTCTATTCCTGACTATCGTTATATACTAATTATGTGTATATAAGTAGCGTACACCATACCACTACTTTTAGCCAATAGGTGAAATGTTTCAAAGCGCCTATGCTTACGTTATTTTCGATGCTTTCATAGCTTTTCTAATATCCGCATGTGAAATACTATTAAAAGCTCCGTAATATTCGTCTTGAAATAGTAAGGGAATCTCCACAAAAGTTTCAAGATGATGATGGTTAAAAAACAGGTAAGGACTAATGAAATTCATTGAAAACTTAAACTTACAGGATCATCGGATATTGAATGAGTTTGTGCTGTTTCTGTTGACCATGAAACTGAAAAACAAACCCAACTTACTTAGGTAACATATGCAATACCATTTGCAGGAATAAACAACGGTAACGATAGAATATACGTGATAAAACAATTATTCGAACTGATGATAGTCTGCACATTTTGTCTAGAACATGTGAGAAATTGTTATGGTTCACATAACAGTACCATGTAATCAGTAACGTTCTATTACATGTACATATGGTCCCAGACCGTATACTATGTTGCTGCTGAAAAAGTTAATCTTTTGAAAAGTGATGATTTAACAGAAAATTGTCAAATATCCTCACGTTAGAGGGAGCAAACATGAACAATGACTCAACTGAATTCCCGTGTCATACGAGATGTACAAGTAACCGCCAGGTGGAGTGCATACATGCAGCTATTTATCAGTCTACATGCAGTCAACAAAATTAGGAAAAAATTACCGAACTTGCTTTTTAATGATAGTGGGAGAACAAATTAAGTTTATATTCTACTATTTCCCTCAAGATATAGTAGGACTCATGTTTACTATTAGTTTGGCTTTTCATGAGTCTTTCGCAAACAAAGACACTGTTTAAACACCAGAACTTTTGGTTCATCCTCTGATTTTCGCGATAGGAGAGTAGGATATCATTGGAAGCTGTGAAAGCACAGGAGTATGATAATTTCTCAACGAGAGTAGCTATTCCCTGCCCTCAGACAATTAAAGGACATTGAAGCCTGTTTCTGAGTATAAGATTCGAACTACTAGGTTTAAAACACCTATGGGGGCTAACTCCTCATCTCGCAAATAGTAGGTTCTAGAACGTCACAATAAGTATTGGTTTGGTTTTTCACACATTAAAATACCATAGAAAGAGAGCCAGAGAAAACGACGATATTAAAACGAACAAGAAAGTGGATTGAGAAAATAAAAACAATACTTGAAGATATAAATGAAGAGTGGATAATACATGTGGAAGTCTAATAGACTGTTTCGTCGGTTTGCACTTGGGGCCACACTACAATTTGTTCAACCAGATAGTATTACAGACACTTATGTAAAGAGTGACACTAACCTGCACGTGGTTACTGAACTGCCTTCATCAATTCAATAAACTAATTCCCTAAGGATTCCAACGTCTATGTTCAGACTGTATGCAATAGTATATTTATATAACGGTGAAAAAAATCGAGTATTGACTAAACCCCGCTATTCAAAATTAAATACTTACATGTACTAGGTATGCTTTTCGAATTTGGAGATGACACAAAGCTGCATTGAGGTGAATGTCTGATATGTTCGCTCCATGGCTCATCAGTTGGTTCCCAAGATGACAATCTAACTAAACATTCAAGACAAAATACAATGTCAAGTGGGAACTTAAATGGGAAGTAAAATCCAGCTTCAGACAAAGTGGAAGGCGTTGCCCATCTGAAAATAAAGTCCAACACAATTGGAATTACTATTGTACCCTTAATGCACTATTAATAAATGGATCTTTAGTTACAAAAACTATTCTCCTACTGACATTATACAAAACCGAAGTGAAGTCCTCTTAAGTTAATGTACAGTCACTTGAGTAGAATCATCCTAAACCCTTTGAAACAAATACAACTAGTAAACTTCTTATTCTACATGAGCTGATAAGAAAATACTCACAGGGAGTTATTCTGAACCACCATGGCAGGCTTAACGTCGAGTTTAAGAAGCGGTTTTCTACAGACTTCAAGATGATAGAAAATCGGAACCATAACTCTAGTATTCGACTTCTGATAATACATTGTAGAAGCCCAGTGATTAAGGAAATCAGCTATTCAACAACAGGTGGCAGGTTTGAATGGCCTGTATACTTTCGTTTATGTATTAACGTAGCGTTACTAGCTCTTAACATTAGGACCGACTACACGAAATGGTACTTGGTAAGTCAGTTACACTGTTTTACGATATATACATCATACTCAACAAAGCTTTCTTTGTACTAAAATTTCAGTTCAGGTTGCATTTACGTATTTTTAGAATGGTCAAGACACAATACATAGCAAGTTAAGACGGACTAAAACAAGAGAATGCAGGTGTTGATATGGTTTGATTACTGCATTCACAACTATAATACCAAGATCGAGATTTTTAGATATAACATCACTTCAGTGTGAATTGACTGTATTATTAAATGAAAGGACGCCTTTTAAAAAAAGACCCAACTTACTGATAATCCATATGAGGCCAGTGAGTAAATGTAAGGCGTCTATGGGCTTCACTTTGCATAGTGAACGGTTCTCGCATAGCCGTAAAAATCAAAATACTGTCACTATCCGTTACAGCTCGTGTTAATCGATGCAGAATTGACTTCAACAGTGGGGTAGTTAGAAGCACGCCTTTGTTCGCACTACTGTGCCGTAGCTTATCGAATAAACTATACAACATTTCATAACTACCATAAATGGTAAACGTTTTCCACTAAAAAACATAAAGTCATTAAACTGAAGTACCTTAGGATTAGGACAGTGATGAGTGTTTATAACCAAACTTCCATAATCAGTGTACAAACTTTCAACAGTGGAAAGAAAAAGTTCTATAACAGAGCCCTGATTTGAGTAAAATTCAAGACTGATCTTATCAGTTTTATTTTGAATGCGTTTATCAAGAAAGCCATGAAGCAGGACAGATCCATTTGAGTGGGTTCTCGCGTTAATTTCGGTTTTTCTCGTAATTACTAAACGTTCATTTGAAGGAAAATAACCAAGGGATATACGTGAACCTAAAAATAAGCATAATTCATATCCACACATACAATTATCAACCGAGCTAGTGACTAAATTTGTCTCTTTATCAAGAAAACCAGTCTGACCATTATAAACTCGCACTGTTCCGTCGGAACTAGCTAACATCGTAACCCCTAAGGGAGGGAAATAACAGGAAGACCAAGGCCAAAGCGATGACATGCCTGTGACCTTAAACTTGAAACCAGCGCCTTGAGAGGTCGCAGGATTTCCACTCAGTCTTAGTTGAGAGCATAGAACGGCGATCGACCGCTTTAAATCCTTCGTATTCGTTGCGGTGAAGATGCAGTTTCTCTTAAAAATCGTCCGTCAATATGTTGATATCGTTTATTTGGATAATGAGTTACAATAACTGAGCACTAGATGAGAAAAACAGAGTCCCGTTCCTAGTTTGTTCAATCGCTGAATCCAAGCATCTTTTGAATATCCTCAAGAATGACTAGTATGCAGTTGTAAATAAGTCTCCAGAATAAGCAATTCTGTCAGTCTTCAACATTAATGCTGACTTCATTAGTGTTGTAGCGGTAAATAAATCCCCAAGATAAATAGCTCTGTACAGTTTCGAACCTGGATGCTGACCATATGTTTTAGTGGACTGACCTAGCTAAAGGCGCTCGGTCATGCATTCGCACCAGATCAGGAGTGAGAACACCGTGCTCAACAACCCCTGAAATCGCTAGCCAGATTAGATAAGACGATCCCCGATATATTGATTCAAATGGTTCAAATGGTTCAAATGGTTGTGGACGGAATAGAAGAAGCTTTCGCTTAACAGGCTTCCGTGTCTAGTAGCAGGGGATCACGAAATCCTCCAGGCAGGAACCTAGGTATGTTAACAATAAAAGAGGAAAAGAAATTGGTAAATCATAGTGCGATGCTGCCCTTGGTCCTTAAGAATAGGTCAAGTTGCCTCTTGAAGGACTCCTGAGAAGTCGCTTGGACTAGCTCGGCCGGCAGCGAGTTCCAGCTTTTGACAACTCTTAAGGAGTAGAAGTTGTGTCTACATTCCGTCTTGCTATGTTGTGTTTCCAGTTTCTGGGTGTTACCCCTTAGGTTATTGTTCGAACTAAGCTTAAGTAGGTGTTTAAGAGGATGTCCAGAAGTGTTAAGAATACTATAAGCCATTAATAAATCACCTCTAAGACGCCTATATTCTAGTGGGTAAAGGTCTAGTGAACGGAGGCGTTCTTCGTAAGGCTTAGATTTGAGTCCTCGAACTGATTTCGTGGCTCGCCGTTGGATACGCTCCAAAGTGACCTTGTCCTTTTGGAGTGAGGGGGGAGTACTATGTTTCCGTACTCTAAATGGGGACGGATGAAACTATTGAAGATTGTGTGGAAAGTTCTTCCGTCAAACTGGCCAAAAATGCGCCTCAACGTTACCAGTGCAAGGTTTGCTCGGAAGGCATTTTTGTCACAGTTAGCGTAAGACTTTAAGTCATGGGGCACCAGGACTCCTAAATCTTTTTCGACTTGGGATACTACTAGAGAGGAGTTTCCTAAGTTGTAACTGTAGTTTGCGACATGTCGCAGATGGACTACTTTACACTTTGAAGTGTTAAAGGTAAGTCCGTTATCGTCTGCCCAACTTTGAAGTCGAGTCAGATCCTCTTGAAGTGCCTGTATATCGTCTTGGTTGCGTATCTCTCTCCAAAGTTTCACGTCGTCGGCAAAAAGTAATAAGTCTGACGTTACCTGTTGAGGAAGATCATTTATGTAGATCAAGAAGAGAAGAGGCCCTAGTACTGAGCCCTGGGGGACCCCACTAGGACATTCCATAGCTTGAGATAAAGTGAAATTAACCCTAACCTTAAAGTGTCGATTTTTTAGGTATGATTTAAGCCAGTCGATTAGAGGTGGTTTGATACCTAGTCGTTTGAGCTTGTTGATAAGACACAAGTGGTTAACCTTATCAAAAGCTTTTGAGAAATCAAGGTAAATGACATCAACCTTTCCCTTGCGATCGAGGATGCTTGTCCATCTGTCCACCGCAGTCAGCAGGTTGGTTATACAAGAGTAACCCTTCCTGAAACCATGCTGTTGGGGTGAGAAGAAATTTAAGGACAGTAGGTAGTCATATCAGGGACTCCATGAGTTTTGAACCTCCTCGCTTCTGTCTTTTGATTTCACTTGATGGGTTTGATTTATAATAGAAGGTGTTACTGGTTAAAGCGTTGTCAAACTCCGAATAACTGTGGCATCTTCATTGGTGAGCCCGACGTGATCAAATACACCAAGTTGCAAACTGTGTGTCTATTCCCTTTCGGAATTTCATAACTCATTGCTTTATTTTAATTTTTATATATTGCAATATTTTCGAGTTTTGGATAAATATTATATATTTCTCGTTCATTCTCGTACTTGATATTTCGCCAAGACGGAACACACACCCAGATACACAAGTTAAAGACTGTGTCCCCACCTTCCTTTCAACTAATGCTATTCTGGCCAGACAACATGGAAACCTGATTCTGCTACGCACAAGCCGACGTTTACGAGCACGGCGTGAACGACACACGTGCACGATTCCCCTCAGTAGTCAAGGCAGTACCGTGAGAATTCAACAGGTACGTAACACCTAGTATGTTTACTCGTGATGTTTCTGAACCTTACGAAACACTGGAACGTTATATCCTTAAACGCGGAGATCTAACCGATCGACAATGGTTAGATCAACTCCTTAATAATATCGACCTGCGACACGGTTCTGCGACACATATGTTGCTAAGAATGAGAGAGGTGATTGGCCAAAAGAACCTTTGATGATGGCCTATTCAGACAAATTTTCCTATCAAAACTTCCTCAACTGATGCAAGCTGTGCTTGTCTCGTTTCAAAAAACCGCCGTAGACGAGCTGGCTGCATCTGCCGACCGCATCTTAGAAAATCACCAAATCTCGTCGAGGTTTTTCAGTCAAAGGAAAGCCTCGAACGACTAAGAATGACATTACAGAATTATGTCACACACACACACACACGCTATCTTAGATTAAGTAATGACAGTAAACGGTCACAAATCCCGCGCAGGAGCACTTCATGTAAGCGATATGTCTCTAGACCACGAGAGATGAATAACTCCGACTGGTGCTGGTATCATGACCAGTATGGAAAGTCTTCCAAAAATTGCAGAAAATCCTAATATTTTCCGAACTCAAAATCCACCGACACGAAAAACAATTCGGGAAACTTCTTAGCTGGCACGCAATAACGGCAACCGTCGCCGGCAAACACAGCCGTCTGTTATGTGTCACAGGTGTGATAACGAAAGTTCGCTACCTCGTCGATGGGTGATCTTATCCGCAACGCAACCATGTAAACTTAATGTATCGCACACTGTCTTTTGTGCGTTCAAGTAACCACAGATTTTGTCATTTCATAATGTATTTTTAATTAAATAACGGGATTATGTAATTAATTTTGCTCTGTTTTTAATTTTTATTCGCCACGTCCGACTGCGTTACACTGTACGTCCATTGCACGCTGAGATGATATCTCAAGTCATAGTGAGTTTATTCACATAGTTGATTGTTTCCAGATAGACTGTCAGTGGATGATTTTACTGAAGAAAGGTTTTTTGTACTGTAAACTGTGTTTCTATGATCAACTCCCTGTTGTCTTCAGTATGAATTCATACTGAATACTGCTTTAAAGCAGTATATATGTATCCTTCTTTTTTTCTTAGGTAAGTTCAACTGGCCTATATTTCGTGTTTTGGTTTTATCGGCTTAATTATGTCCATTTACCTACTTTGAGCAACATGTCTTTGCAAGTGAAACAATAACTATGACACTTGCTTAGTTTAGTGTTCTTGGTTGTCGTATAATTCAGTTTAGTTGAAAGAATTATGATATACTTAAGTATAGTGCTTGAAGCCCGTAACGAAACAGATCAGTTTAGTAAGTAGAGTTGCCTGTTTCTAATGTGTATACGGATTCAGATCAGTCTGATTAAAAATAGGAAAAAACGTGCCTTTGATGCTATTGCTGTCATACATTATAAGATAGCGATAAGTATGTTTGGTGTTTATTTCTAAACTGTACATCTATCACTGACCATATTTCATGATCACTGTCATTAAACAATTTCCCCAGCAATAACATCGGTAGCAAGATAGCTAAGTGTCTGAGCTTTTAGTTGCCCGCAAAACAGCAGTATACAGTCCTAGAAGATGTTCTGTGTCTCAATTAAATGTAGCTGGCTGTGGACAAATGTTAAGAATCTTTTTGACAACTGGGACTTTTAGTTTATCATACACTTACTTTGCTTGTATGTTTTCCTGTTAAACTAGACTCAGATACATGGAAATACTTAAATGGGAGCAAAATAATAAAAGCATTGCAATACGGTACTAAGCCCACGTTATGCTTTGCGCAAGTAATAGTAGCTGACCTTATCTAATATTCATGAACTCAAGGTAAATCACAACTGCATAAATTCTTTGCTAAAAAACATGTGATTTGGTTATTTATATATTCCACATTTCTGACTAAATTCATCACCATTTTTTCATTTAGAATGCAACAGGAGTGAGTCTTTACAGATCATAAAAACAGTTTTGCCCTTATAGTTCTAAGAACTATGGCCCTATGGAACTGTTTACGGGAGATCCAACGAACAGCAGATTATAAAAAGGATGCTGGACGTCCATTTTAGTCTCACAACCACTTCCAGTATTTTTTTGACTTCTTTTACTCTTTCGTTTTGAAAAATACAACAAAAACTGCAGTTTAACATTACCAATACAACTTTTAAACGGGAACTTCGTTTAAACCTTTGTTTGATATTCGATTCTTAATGAAAGTTCTTGAATAAATTTCTGAATCTAACGCTACTTTGTTTTATCTACTTAATCGTTGCAAGAAACTTGTGATAAGCGAGCCTCTCAGCACCTAGTTCATGTGTTCAAATGGTTGTGGACTGAATAGAAGAAGCTTTCGCTTAACAGGCTTCCGTGTCTAGTAGCAGGGGATCACGAAATCCTCCAGGCAGGAACCTAGGTATGTTAACAATAAAAGAGGAAAAGAAATTGGTAAATCATAGTGCGATGCTGCCCTTGGTCCTTAAGAATAGGTCAAGTTGCCTCTTGAAGGACTCCTGAGAAGTCGCCTGG